TCAAAACTCCGGCTAAAATTATGCCGGATTTGCTAAATTTTTGCCGGAGCCGGATTTGGGCCGGATTTGTAAAAATGGCCGGATTTTGGCCGGAGCAGGAGCCATAGCCGAAATCCGGTACAGCCCTAATTGTATTAAAGGTCGTAAGATAAAACATTTTATTGTTGTTTTAAATCTTTTTACAGAACAAAATTATCTCAAATATTTCAAAAGTTATAAATGTTTTAGTAACACCCCCTAAGTCAATATTTTCCAAAAAAAACAAGAAGCCGTAAAGCTCACTCTGAAACAGCCGTGATGTTGGTTTTAACTTCAGTTTTTAGTTCATTATCACCAAAAGCAAAATTTACTTAGGAGACAGATTACAAGATTGATGCACAAGGCTCTTGTAAAATAAATAACTTATAACTGCAACTTCTTTAAACTCGTCTATTGTTTGTAGCTGAAAAGCAATATTGAAAACCATTTGATGCATCATGGGTTTTTGTGAAGCATTACAGTTTCAAGAAAAAATACAATGTTGTTGGTCTTCAAATTACCTGATCTGTTTTTTCTGCCTCGGAGAAAGAATTAGTAGGGTGTTAGGTTTGAGTCGTCTGAATAAATAACAAGTAGATGTAGTCAGCCAAAATTTTGTTTCATGATGAACTCCAGTCTGTTCAAATTAGAAGTTTGACTCAGCTCTAAAACCTTTATTTACCTCTCTAGAGAGTTACCTAATGAAAACCAGACAATTTTTACAATTATCTCAAGTTTGTTTACACCTTAGGCTTGGCAGGAAAAGCCTGCGATCAAATGCTATTGCTGACTACACAAATAATTTTTTTTGTTGACAACTTGACCGAAACTGTTTAGATGTTTTGATGATTTAAACATTTCAGAAATGTGCTGAAAAAAAAATGCTCAACTAAACTTAAACTAGGAAAAAATTAAATAACTAAAGAAAAATTAAAACAATTTTTTACAAAAAAGGAAATAAAAAAGCTTTAAAATAAAACTCAAAAAAATCAAACTTGAAGCAAAAAATACTTTTTGTTTATGTTTTTAATTGCATTTGAAATAAATTACTTTAAAACTCTTTAAATGTTTAAATCTTTTTAAATGTTTTATTAAAGTTATGCAAAACACTTTTACAAAATACTTGTAATGTTTGTTTAATAAATGAACGAGTTTTATTTAAATTATTGAAAAGTGAAATTAATTTATTGAAAAGAAAAAGTATAATATTTTAAAATTGTATTTAACAATTAAAAAAAAAAAGTAGTCTTTTTAAAATATTAATTTTTAATCATCATACTCTGATTAGTAAGCCATGTGTCAACTTGAACTTGTCAATTTTTTTGTCTCGCTAAAACATTCTAACAGTAAAGCCAAGTATATTTTGAGAGGGCATAACCAAAAACTAGAATGCTAGTTTGTACAAAATTGTGAAGAACAAAATAACTTGTTTTCAAATAGAATTGTTGTACCATGGAATGCACTTTCCCAAGCAGCAATGAATGCTCCATCAATCAATGCTTTCAAAGACAGTATAAATAAAGTAACTTTTAGAGACACAATTGCTGCTTTGTCTTAGGCTTCTGTATTTTTATTTTATAGTCAGCATAGAGGGGCCTGGTGTGAATATAAATGTGTCAACTATAAGGTGTTACTATAAAGGTGTAAACTATAAATTGATTTACTGTATTATTATTATTTGTTTTTTTTATCACTGAATGAGCGAAAAAAAAACAAAAACTTATTCATAATTTAAAGTAACTTAAAAAAATAATCATTTGAAAATTTTATAGAAAGACATGGAAAAATAGTTTCAAATGTTTAAATTTATCATAAAAAACACATGCCTGTTAAATAAAAATTAATAAAAACATTTAATTTACACAAAATGTGTTCATTTTAAACAATTGCTATAAATAAAAACTTCAAAAAAGATCAACAATTAAAAGTTATTCATAACATAATGATTTTTTTATTGCATTTAAATTGTTAAAACATCAAAACAGCTGTGGTCAAAATATAAAGATAAAAAATTATAAGTGTAGTCAGTTATAGAGTGCAATTTTGTCATAGTATTCTTGAATACTATGACAAAATATCTTATAGTATTCAAGCATTGTTTGAATGACAATAACTTAAATACTTTCCTAGGAGCTTTTAATATCTATGGTACCACAAAGAAATTATATTGTATTCTTTTGTAGAAGGTTTTATTTAATTGTTGAATAATAATCAATATATGAATATATTTTATAGAATTATAACTTACAAGTTATAACTCATGAGTTTTTGTTTGTGTCGATTTAATAGTGATAATACATATGTTTCTGTTATCTCCTAATTTGAGTACAGGTTCAAAATTTAGTTTTGAACCTGTTTATGAAGCCAGCTGGTAGTAAGGTTTCTGGGACACTCTGGTAGCTCTCGAAGAAACTGACTTCATCAAAAGCTGTAAAGTACTAGGAGTACTTTATTTAAGAAGCTGTGAGTATTGGCAGTGTCATGCTTCACATGGCTAGTGTCTCTATTAGATGTAGTATATATATATGATCATAAATGCACTATGATCAAATCAAGTTAAGTTTATAACTTAATACATTTAAACATGTAATAACTAAATTACCTAAAGATAATAAACATAAAAAATTATTTTTATAAATTATTTTTATGTTTAATGAATACTTGTGGTATTTAAAGTAACTTTTTATCTGTTGAATCTTATCTTTTGCAAAATTCATCAGATTTGCTCTTTGTTAGGCTAATTTGAATTCGTCTAACATTCCATCTCTAATCAATGGGTCTGATTTTATTCACTCAAGAAAATGACAGAACTATTTGCAAAGAACTTTTCCTCTAATTTATCTCTTGAATTGTTATCCTAGGTAAATAGATTAATCTATTGTTAGACATCCATATCATCCAGGCTTTTTGTTCCCACTTTAACTCTTCTACAACTTGTGATCCAGATTCCTGTTATAGTCTTACAAAAGTCTTCCCCGAAAATCTCTTTAATTCTCTCTAATCTATTTAACAAGTACTTTACTCAATCTTGTTTTCCTACCTGTTGGCAAAACTCTAATATTAAAAAACTATCAAGAACACTACCTTGAACCATAGTCCAAGCAACCATTAAATTACTATTATAATAAGCAAAGTCTTTGATTTACAGTGATGTCTCAAATCTTTGATTTGAGATCATTTGTCTCAAAGTCTTTGATTTACAGTAGTGTGAATATTATAATCAATAACTTAAAAAGCATAAAACAATTGCTTCACGTAAAATGTTTGATTTAAACAATTTAAAATTCTTTATATTTAAATCAAACACTTCATTAATGCAAATTTTAGTTTAAAAAATATTTCAATATGTTTTGGTGTGTCATTTTAAAATTTTAAGTGCATTTCCTAATTTTTAGGATTGTGAACATTTTTTTTTTCATACGTTAAAATAAAATCAATGAGATTTTTACGAGTTTAATTATGCTCTGAAGATATCTGAATGTCTGTTTTTATTTTTTGAATCGGACTGATAAAATTTCTGATAAACGTCTAGACCATGAAAGATAGTAAATTTTTTAACAAGGCTATCATTGACTAGGTCATATGACTTATTTTTGAATCACAAATGTAACAAACAATTTAAATTTAGTAACTCATATGTTGTACATATGCAATATATGAAATATATCTCATATATGAGTTAAAATGAGTAACAACAATATATGCAATAAAATGTAATTGCACTTTAGTTTAGTGCAAACAGGAGTTCGTGTTGAGCCATAACAAATGTTGGCAGTCCTTGTCCTACTATGTTATGTTTGGCATATTGAATACTCAAGAGTTGCTACTTGATTGGATCAGATAGACTTTCACACAACTGTTATAGACCTTGATATCATTTTGCTTTAATTTCTTTTAAAGCTGATTTTTTTCAGTAAACCAATCAAAATATTATGGCAGATACTATTATGACCAACCTTTTAACTGCAATCTGAGCTTTTTAAAGTAGATTTCAGCCATATATAGTTTTTTGGAATGGCATGATTAAAATGTTTGACTTTAACAGACTTAATTCAGTAAAAGGCATGGTTAAAAAAAAAAATCATTTGGTGTGTGTATTTAGCACGTACTTTAGTTATTATACGCTGAGTTTCATAGTTTTTACTTAAAGTTTTATAAGCATTTTTACATTTTTTTTGTCATGACAGTCCTAACAAAAAATCCAATGCTTAAAAACAGCAAATAAAAGAATGCAATCAATGATTTAAGAAAAAAAGTATAAATGATTATTAACAACCATGTGTGTTATGTTAAAAATATGCAATATAACATTATTAAAGTTCTTAATTATGGGTATACAATGCAATTTTTAACGCTACACAACAAGACTGTTAATAATTGTAAAAACATGTTAATACGATTCTTATAACTTTAAAACCATGCTATGGTATAATAAAATGATTTTTTTAAATAATTTTTTTGCTTAAAAGTATTTTTAAATAGTTAGAAAAAAGAGTTTTGGAGTTTAGTATGCTTTTTCTTAACTTTTTGTTTTTTTGTTTTGTTTTTGTTTTCCACTTTCTTGCGGAATATCCTATATTTATATGCATACATATATATATATATATATATATATATATATATATATATATATATATATATATATATATATATATATATATATATATATGTATATATATATATATATATATATATATATATATATATATATATATATATATATGCATATAAATATAGGATATTTATATATATATATATATATATATATATATATATATATATATATATATATATATATATATATATATATATATATATATATATAAATGTGTGTTTGTATAAGCTATTTCATTTTTTTTTACTCAATTATCTTTTTTATTTACATTTATCAGGCTTAATGTTATATTATTATATTGTTGTTTAAATATATTATCAATTATTAGTTGCAAAAAGTATAAAAATATTAATTTTAATTTTTTTAGGTTGTTTTAAAAGAGTTGCTTGATGTTGAAATTTTTTCGTCACTTTTTCCTAACTCAAAAAAGTTTCAAGTTGAAAAAGGAAGTTTGAAAGATCAACAGGATATTATTTCTATAGTTTGCCTTGATTCTAGTTTAAGTCTGACCAGTATATTGTTGACCCAGCATTCTTCACTGGGAATTAACAGGTATGAAATTTATCAAATTTTGTCAGTTGACAATTTTTTGTTTTTATATTATGTTATAGATATAAGCATTACAAAAATCTCATATGAATTTTTTCTTTTTGAATGCGTTTATACCTTTGAGCAGAAATCACTTCATGCATAACTTGTAGTGGAAATTTTCTTTGCATTTTAGGAAATCAAAACCTACTTTCCCATAGTGTTACTAAAATAAATGCCCTGCCATGTATTTTTTCTGACACCTTTAAATGCATATATAAGTAATTACTAGACAATATTTTATCTAAATTTTCAGAAAAAGTTTACAAAACTTTAAAAGTTATGAAAAAAGTAAGACTGTGGTGTAATAATGTCTATTGTAGTTATAAGTAAACCTCTTTTAGTTATAAGTGGCTATAAGTTTATTTCTGTCATAGCCTCTGTTAATGTGGCTAAAAATTTTCTTGAAATAAATCATGCTCTTTTTATAGTATATAGTAGGACAAGTCACTCTTTGCAATAGACATTACACTTTTCATTAGACAATCTATTTAATTTTACGATTATTAATACATTAGACTTATTTACTTAATTTATTTACTTTTTCTCATATGAAAAGGCATTGTAAGAAACATAACTAAATTGAAAAACCACTAATTATATTAGATTTAATTTATTATTTTTTTACATAACACATTGTTGATCGTTTTGGTACATTTTTGTATGAATAACCAAGTTTGATGCATTGAAAACATTCAATGTATCAAACACGTTGAGTTTTTCAATTCATCGAACCTAATTAATTAACGCATCGTTAAGGGAGCGACAAAGTCAATATAATAATTATATAATGCGTTGAATACAAAGGGTTGATTGGGTTCTATCTCTAACGCTTGAAAAAAACACAGTCTGTGATGTGCTTGAGGACTAAAGTCTATCTTTTTTATTTACCTACTTTGTCGAAACAAATTTTGGCCGAGCTTTCCACTAAAGTTTTCTTTCCAAAATTTACCTTCATCATACTTTTCAGCGTAAAATGCCTAAAATGATTTTGATGAGTTTGAATGACTAAAGTTCAACAACTAGGCATATTCAACTTTCTCAATTCACGTTTTGTAATTCCCCTTTATTTAAAGAATGAATAATTATATTTGATAAAATTGCATTTATCCTTTTAATTTAAATAGTTACATAGGCTTCTAGGATTTACAAAAAAAAAAGGTTAAAGTTATACACCTATAAATAATGAATTTACAGATGAAATGATTGAATCTCATTACCAACAAATATTGGCAATAGAGAAAAGAGACTAGGAACCAGAGAATAACAAGTTAATAATAAAACTAAATGAAGAATAAAGACTGTTAAATACTATATCATAAACGTAAACAATGCAAACAGCTTAACAATTAATTAACTAAATGTTAATTTTAAATTGGATCTTATATCATTTTTTAAAACCTAATATTTTAATAACTAATTACCGCCATTTTAAAACTCAATCAAAGTATCACTTCTTGCGTGTACAAGTAACTAGTCCAAGACAGATTTTGACTGGGTCAGGGGCATAATTATCATTATCATCGTCATTATAATTTTAACCTTTAATTTTCAGCTCTTACAAAGGTTGCACATTTGTTTCCAATGAAGCCATCTCTTTTACTCTAAATCTTGGTTATTTTTCTTTTTAATCTCAACCCTCTCATGTTTTTGCTCATCTGCTCCCAAATCTATACATGCAATAATTTCCAAAAGGTCTTCACCTTTATTTGTACAAATAAATAAAATGATGTATTTTTATCTTTCCCAGGCTTGATGCTTTCTTTGTTTCCACCGGTGATCTAATCGTATCTCCTAAATAATAAAAACAGTTTCTCCCTCCAATATTATTAATTTACTGGCCAATAACCAATATTATTAGTTTACTATCCAAAAATCAATATTTTTAGTTTACTTACTAATAACCAATATTATTAGTTTACTGACCAATAACTAGTATTTTTAGTTTAATGACCTTTAACTAATATTATTAGATTACTGACCAAAACCAATATTATTAGTTTACTGGCCAATAGCTAATATTATTATCTTACTGACCAATATTATTATTTTAATGGCCAATAATCAATATTTTTAGTTTAGTGACCAATAACCAATATTTTTAGTTTACTGACCAATTACAACTTTTTTTAGTTTTCTGACCAATTACCAATATTAATTATTGTTTACAATTTTTAAATTGATTGGATTGATTTGTAAATTAATGATATTTCAGAAAAAAAGTTGTTTTTTTATCTAGGAAATGGTTCTCAAATTTATCAGAGTCTTGGTTGTATATTCATCCTTCAAACATTTTGCTAACAAAACTTTATGGTTATTGGATGTGCTTTCATGTTCAAAATGTTGAAAATAATGGTAGATAATTATTATTATAAAAATTTATAAGTTCATAAGTGTATGCTTTTTTATTGTTTTTTATTATCATTGTTATTATTATTGCTATTAATTTTATACCCGGTGTTCAATAAAAATCCATGAAAAGATTGAAGCTTTAAAAGAGTACACAAGTTTTTTGTTTTTAAATAATATCCATATTGTTGCATATTTAATACTCTTTCTTTTTATATATTACATTGTGTAAAAAAGTCAATACAAGAAGTTAATAGAAAAGGAATTTACTAATTTTATTTACCTCATCCATTAGAAAAAAGTTTGCCTTCGGCCATAAAGAAAATATTTAAAGATATAATGAAAAATACTTCAAAACAAAGCATCTTCAACATAATCCAATGTACTGAAATGATTGATTATAATAGAGATAAAGAAAGGGGTTGTGTTGTCAGAAAAAAATAAATGAAAAAATCGTTAAACGTCCACATACTCATTGTACTTTTAACCCTTTAGTAAACAGTATAAAAAATTTTTATACTGGTAGTTTGCTAAAGAGTTGATATAGCTAACAGTATAAAAGTTGCAAAGATTTTTTCCTTTATTAATCACTGAACATATATTTTTCCATTGTTTCTTCAATTTGGCATAGAGCTGCTGTCTTAGCCCTTTAGTTTTCTTGTCTGTTAGTGCGACTGTAATGATAAACATGCCTTTCATACATCTTTGACACATAATCCACCAGATGGCAACCTTCAAAATATCTCACAAAATACGTTTAGCACCATTTTCTTTGCCAGTGTTGCTGTTTATGGTATCGGAGCAGATGCCTATCACCTAATCTTTACTATCATAATATTCCAATAATTTGTAAACATGCATTGTCTGATTAACTCCCTTTAAAGTTAAGCTACATTTAACAAGTGGTCTTCCTTTGTACTATCATCTTGTGATGATACACTAATGACAATTCTTTCAAAGGTTTAGATAATATTTAACTGTCCAATTATTTGGTTCACAAGCTTATTCTTGCTAATCAGCTTTGATCAGCCAGAATTGATATTGGGAGATCAAAACATAAATTTTTCCAAAAGTAGACAATCATTAACTGTTGACTGGTCATTTTCAGTGTCATTGCATGAGTTAATTTGACTCTTAAAGATGTTGATATTATCTGAAAAAGAATGTCGATAATTCTGTATGAGAAATTATTTGTAAATATCTAATCAAGATTTATGCATCTTATATTTATGACCTTGCATGTTGTTTTTATTGTCAATCTAACAAAACTCAGAATTATCAATTGAGACTAAATTATGCAGAGTTCATCAATGTTCATTCAAAAAATTGCAACATTCAAAAAATTCAAGCATGAATTAACTTAAGCTAGTCAATAAGTCATGTTTAAATCATCCCATCTCGACTTCGAATCAAGAAAATAAAGTTGGCTATTGTTGGTTAAAATGAATAGATGCAGGGCTCTTTTAGTGGAATGGTTTTTCATGTTCTCAACTACTTTTATTAGTTCAATTTGATATGGCAACTAAGCACACTAAGAATAATCTAATATTACCTAAATTTATTCAATAAAGATTCTAAGAGATACTAGAAAAATGAGATATAATGCATTTTAAAACAAGTTATGCTCTAGTCTTTACTAAATGCATAACCCTTAAAGTATGTTTTTTATAATTAAGGTGAGAATTTTACATCGAGATTTTTCAGATTGAAAAACTAAATTATGATTTTCTAATTTATAGTAGAAATTAATACTTTTTTTTAATAAAGCAATGCATATATACAAAACACTTGCATATATACATATGCATATGTAAAAAATGCATATATACAAAACACTGCAAGCAATAGGTTGGTTTATAGAAATAGGTTGCAATAGCATTAAGTTGCCATATTTCTGACCATAGTACAATTTTATCAAAAATGTTAACTAAGTTATAACTATGAACTGTATTGCAAAATGAACTGTATAGTTTGATTTCATCATCATAATGTTTTAAAGAGCAATTAAAATTGTTAACTATAACGGTTGTTTGATGATATTAAGTAAAAATGTTAGACCTAACACGCTACCCTGAGGACCTCCACAAATGATACAAGTTGGGCTTGATAACAAATTTCCAACCTTAACTTGTTGATATCTATTTAATTTATTAAATTACTTTTTATGTTAAAGCAGGTTTGGCTAATAATTTAGAATGAGATACAAATGAGAATCAAATGCCTTTTGAAAGACAATATATTAAATTAGTTGATAAATATTAGCCTAGTGCAATGCTTCAAGCATTGCACTAGACAAACATTTCAGATTTTTAAACATTTCATTTACAGATTTTAAAACATTTCTACAAGTAGAATGTTTTTTGAGAAAGCCATGTCGATTATAAGCTATTAGGCTACGGCAAGTTAAATAATTAATGATAATCATAATTTCTATTGCATGACAACAAGTGCATGTGAGTAATTTGGTTTTAGTGTCAAATGTCCTTTTTAAAAAAATGGAGAAACAAAAGCATGAAACCATTGTTAAGACAGTGTGTTTAGTTTTAAGCTGGCATCAAATAGAAATAAAAATGGAATAAAATAGGAGTTAATGTTTTTAGAGGAATATCCATTATTCTGTCAAGGTCATAAGATGAGTTGAGTTTGAATCCAAATAAAGTTGAATACACCATATTCAACTTAATTTGGATTCAAAATCAACAGAAAAAATAATGGTTTCAATTTATATAGAGTTGTTAAGAAAATTATTTATATTTGGCGAGTACTTGTTAACTTCTGTTTTCCAAAGTATTTATTAAACAGTTCAGCAGTTTCTATATTGAATTTAAATCAAAGTTGTTGTTTTTTTCTTCAATAGGCTCTTTTTATGATTGTTTATATTTTATTATATATATATATATATATATATATATATATATATATATATATATATATATATATATATATATATATATATATATATATATATATATATATATATATATATATATATATATATGTATATATATATATATATATATATATATATATATATATATTATGTTAGTATTTTCTACAAATAGAGTACTCGATGTTCCTAGAGAACAGAGCAATAATAATTAAGTAAAATAATGTATCTAATTTTTCATCTGTAGGTTCATCATTTTGACATGCTGTTTTTCCAACCATAGATTTATCAAAAAAAATATCTAAATATTAAAAAATTTAAGTTATAGAAAAAATATTTTAAAGGAAGTTAAGAATTGCTATAGTTAATTTTATAATAATTTTGGAACCTTAAAGAGACATCAGTTATATATTTTTTTAATAATTGAATTGAGGAAAGAATTCTTTAGAATTAGAATAATTTTGGTTTAGGTTTAATTACCAGTTTAATTAATTTAAAAGTTATTATTATTATTTTTTTTTTAGTTACCAATTAAATTTTGACAGCATAGTCTCTTTTAAGTATTTTTTATGTTTTAAAAATTGTTTGTAGTTGGCATAATGTTATTTACAATAACATTCTTTCTTCACAACATAACTTTGATAAACAATATATCGGCTAAACCAAGGCCAAACAAAAATAAGCGTTAAGCAAACACAAACAATCTTTTAAACATTAAAAATACTTAAAAGGAATATGATGTCAAATTATAATTGGTAACTAAAAAAACAAAAATTTCAGTTTAATTAATTTTAAAAAGTTAAATGAGATTTTGATGTTGGACATACAGTTCTAATTTTTCTATCCAGTTCATCCCATAGTAACTCAATGGGGTTGAGGTCTGGTCTTTGGGGAGGCCAGGTCATTACATGAAATACATTTTCAGCTTTTTTTGATTCTAAATTATTTCTACATAATAATGTTAAATTATCATGCATCAGAATAAAATTATCTCCAATTAATCGATGTCTCGAAGGGATCACATATGTTTCCGGGATATCTCTGTAATGTTCTTTTCTCATTTTACCATTGATTTTACGCAAATCTCCTACTCCATCGAGAGAGAAACAACCTCAAACTATCACAGAGCCTCCACCATGTTTTACTGTTAGAACCAAACATTGAGTTAACATTTTTTCTTCGGCAGATCTTCTAATGTAAACTCTTCGCTTATTTCTGAAAACTTCATTTTGACTCATCAGTCCAAAGTACTCGTTTCCATTGATCCATCGTCCAATTTTTGTGGAATATGTCCAACAGAATCTCTTCTGTCGATTACCTTTTTGTAAATATGGTTTTTGGATAGCAACACAACCATGCAAATTAGCTTTTTGCAATTTTGTTTGATTGTACTGACAGAAACTTTTTTTTTCAATCACAGTTGAAAATAGCTGTTATTTGTGGAGAAGTTAACATTCGATTACATTTACTGATGACTTTTATACGTCGGTCATCAGTTTTTGTTGTTATGCGAAAAGGGCCTGGACGATTTCTGTCTTCCAAACTTCCAGATTCTTGATATCGACAAATTTTGTAACTAACTGTTGATTTACTAAGGTTTAATTTTTCAGCCATTTTTTTTCACTGTATAGTCTTCTTGAAGCAAAGTAAGTGTTGCTACCCTTTTTTCTACACTTATTGGTTCATCTTTAGGCTTATTTTTTCCAATATTATGAATCTACACAAAAAAAAAACCATTAATTTTACCTTAAGGTGTACGTTTTTTAAAATTTCAAGTGCAGAAGTTCAAATTTGAACTTCTGCTCTTGAAATTTTAAAAAACTTACAAAAAAAACACAAAATATCTGCATATAAAAACACAGTAAACAATAGAAATACTTGTTAAATGACAAACTTAAAAAATTTGAGTTGATAATGTAAAATACAGGTTCATTTGTGAATTTAATAGGTTTCTCTGTTAATTAATTTAAAATGATAAGACTTTAACTTGCATATACTATTTTATATATATATATATATATATATATATATATATATATATATATATATATATATATATATATATATCAGGGGCTATTCTAGACTATTTTTGACAGCGTCGACCATATTTAGGCGTCGATTTAGGTTCCGCCCAAATTAAAATTTGAGGACCTTTTTTTTTAGGTTTTTTTAGGTTTTTATGACAAAATTTTTGTTTTTCATGAAAAAAATGCCAAATTTATCGCTAAAGTCCACCGAACGAGGGGGTACCGCAACCCAAATAGATAAATTTTCTAGAATAGGTCCTGTACATATATATATATATATATATATATATATATATATATATATATATATATATATATATATATATATATATATATATATATATATATATATATATATATATATATGTATGTATATATATATATATATATATATATATATATATATATATATATATATATATATATATATATATATATATATATATATATATATATAAATATATATATATGTATATATATATATATATATATATATATATATGTATATATATATATACATATATATATATATATATATATATATATATATATATATATATATATATATATAAATATTTATATATTAAATATAATTCTTTAGGCTCAATTTTCCATCTTATTGCTTCATATCCTTCTAGTAAAAAATTTAGTGATATCTGCTCTTGCATGTCTTCATGTCTAATATTATTGAAAGAACATATTGATTCTATTTCAATATTAAAACTTATTTCAACTGATAAATGCAAAGAGAATGATATCTCAACTACTGTTAAGTGTAATGCAGTTGTTACAGATACTGGTTTGTATTTTTTTTTTTATCAATTTTTGATTTCTTATTACTTTACCAAAATTTTATATGGTTCATAAATGATTCAACATTTTTGTTTTTAGGTGTTATCAATGAACCTGTAGTAAGTATAAAATAATATATATATTTTTTTGTTTTAAAGACATTTTGCATAAATGATTATTAAAAATTTTATACAAATTTACAAAATTATTTACTGTTGTCATTGGAAAAGGCGTTTCTTTCTGGTATATGTCTGGGTTAGCTTTTTGAAACTGGGGTTAGAGATGAATCTTATGTATAGCTGTTTAATTCATTATAGGTTATTTGCAGTATGGCTGGGCTGGTTTGACATAGGTTCAAAGATAATTTTTTTATGCTGGTATCCACTAATACTTGGCTTTAACACATGGTACATACAGTACTAACTTTTACAATGCATTAGTATTTGTTTTTTTGACAGTTTATTGTATATTCACATTTGTTTTATTGTACACATTGCATTTATGGTACATTTCATTTTAGTATGTTTTCATATATAACATCACCTACTTACCCTTTCATGGCATGTGTCAATTTACTATTTTTTCATATATTTTGTCATATTTGCTTTTACATAACAAATATTACACTTTCATGATGTATACATATATCATTTTATTGATTAGCTCATATGATTTCTATAGTTTTTAGTGCAAATTAGTATAATTTTAATTTCTGTCTCTATTTTTAATTAAACAAATTTGTTTATAAAATTTGTTTTTTAAGTAAGTATATTTATTTATTATACTAAGATTTATCTATATAAACAGATCCACCCTTATTTGTTACCATTTTGCTCTACTGTTTTTGCATGTTATATTTCTGTTGTTTTATTAACTGACATCATCAAGGTTATTACTCTTAAATCATGCTACAATTATTTGTTCTATTTTTTAATTTCTTACTTCCAAATATAATTTCTGATTTCTATTTTTATTGCTACATGGTAGTTAAAAAATTTGATGGTGATTTTTTTCTTGAATTAGTTTTATTCATTTTTGTTTTTAGTTTGTTTATTTCAATTATTTTAAAATGTTTCCTACTCACAACTTTTTAAGGTTTTTGTTTGATTTATATATATATATATATATATATATATATATATATATATATATATATATATATATATATATATATATATATATATATATATATATATATATATATATATATATATACATATATATATATATATATATATATATATATATATATATATATATATATATATATATATATATATATATGTGAAAAAGTTTGTGAAAAGTTATGCGTTAAAAACTGAAAAAAAGTAGGTATTTCTAAACTTTTGCACGCTACTGTATGTAAATGGTTGCTAGAAATGGTTTGCCACGTCAAATGTCAGTGCCACAAGCGCCCCTGAACCTAATATTTATTAAGTATACGTAATATATATATACTTTTTTGACTTTCTTGGCTTCACTTCTCAAAATTTTGAAATAGTAATACAATACACCACAACAGTTATTGTAATTGTTTTTCATCCCAGCAAAACAATACAAAAATTATTGTAATTATTGTAATGGAATAACTGTGTGTAACCTTGTGTGCCAAATTAATATAAATGTGCTATTGTACAATTAAAATATAACCGAGTCAGGGGAAAACATGGCAACTGCCCACTTAGCTTGCAAAGTCAAAAAGATAACAATGTTGATTAATTGCCTTATCCTGCTCTATTAGAAGATTTGAATACAATCGAATCTATTTAGGCTTAGATAGATAAAGATTTAATCACGGTTAGAAAATAAGATCTATAAATTCTTCTTCTGTTGAGTCTTATCTCTTGCAATGTTCACCAGACCTGCATGTTCTTTGTGAGACTAATTTGAGTTCGGCTCATCTTGTGATCTTAGTCTTTATGGTTATCTTTAATTCATAAAGACTCTAATAGTCACATGCTTTGCCTGGGCATTTACCTTAGTAAAAATTCACCCATTTGTTGGAAAACTAAGTTTGAATCCACCGACTATTTTTTTATGTGGTTTCGTTTAGTACCACTTCACTCTATCGCCTTACTCTTTGTTCTATATCGCTCTCCTTTATTTCAAGACTCCACTTTTTTTGATGTTATTTCTGATCAAATTCGGCCTAGCCCTCTCTCTTTATCTATCAGCCAATATCGTTGTTGTTGGTGACTTTAATCTCATCACACTGAATGGCTCTAGTGTCAGTAACTTGGCTCTAGTGTCAGTAGCTTGGCTCTAGTGTCAATAACTTGGCTCTAGTGTCAGCAACTCTGCAGGCGCACAACTTTTGTCTTTCTCAATTTCTAACTCAAATAGTCGATTTTCCATCTTGCTTTCCTGACAATCCAAATCATTTACCTTCTCTACTCAACTTATGTCTTGTTTCTGATCCTATTCAATGCTCACTTTCTTCACATTCTCCACATTATCAGAATCCCCCTATCATTGTACCTCTTACAACTACCTTAAAGCTAAAACTCTTTCGCCATTTTCTTCATGATGACCCTTGGGTAGAAATCTTTTGTCTTCCTGCTGATAAATGTGCTTTTTACTTAATTTCTTGGATCCAGGCTGGCATGGTATCTTTTATTCTCTCTCGACCATTTCAAGTCAAGCCTCACTCTTCTCCATGGTTTTCCTCACATTGTGCTGCTGCAATTTCCAATCGAAACCATTACTTTCATATCTATCAGCAAAACAATTATCCAGAAAACAGATATCTGTTTACTATTAAAAGAAACCATTGTAGAAAGGTTTTGTCTAACCCAAAAGCCCACTTTTCTCAGGTCATGAAATCTTGTACTTCATCTCAAAAATTAGGCTCTCGTGGTCTCTGGAGAATCTTTAACAGTATCAATAATAAGAATAGATCTGTTATTCTACCTTTCTTATCTGGTTCAGATTTTGTCACCTCACCTAAAGACAAAGCTAAATTGTTTGCTAAGAACTTTTCATGAATATTATCTCTTGATTCCACTAGTTGTGTTCTACCAAATATAGCCGATAAACAGGTTGATACATTACTTGACATACGTATTACTTCAGCTTCTTCTTTTACAGCTTGTGATCTAGACAACATTTTGTCCTTTTTCCTGCAGAAGCTCTGTAGCTGTCATCTAAAATTTTCAAAACTATTTAACAAGTGCTTATCTGCATGCTGGTCTTCTCCATAAGCTTTCTTCTTACGGTGTATCAAGTGGTATCTTTAAGATTATTGAATCCTTCTTTTCCAATTCTAGTATAAAAGTTGTACTTGATGGACAGCACTCTTCTTCATATCTTGTAACTTCAAGAGTGGGTTTCTCAAGGTTCTATCCTTGGTCGTATTCTCTTTTCAATTTACATTAACGATCTTCCAGATATTCTTACATCAAAGGTATCATTTTTCGCTGATGACCATTTATTCTTATCTTGATAAAAAGCCAACATTTCTAAGTTGTTTGTTAAGCGTTATCTTGCTCTATAATCTTCATCTTTTCTTATCCAGTAACTTCCTACTCTAATATTGGTTGCTTGCACCTTTGTTGGAAGCGAAGATGTTAAAAAAAAGCTTTAACAAATTTATCATATATTTTTATTCTGATTCACTTCCAACAAGGATGCATACAGCCACTATTAAGTTAGGAATTACTACAAAAAAAGAATAAGGTTATAGAGCAAGGAAACAATTGACAGAAGACTTAAAAAGTTGAAGGTTGTATGAGTCTGGAAAATATGAAGATGGGAGAAAGTTCCAAAGGGTTGTGGTGCGGGAAAAAAAAAACTAAAGTAAAAAACTAAAACTAGACAACTAAAAGTTTTTGGAGCATGCAGGGGGAGATACAGTAAAAGAATGAGATTTTGATGAATGGCGAGTCAAGCAAGAATGAGTTTTAGTTAATGGAACTAGAGAATACAGTTCCTTTGAGCAGCACCACAATAGTTTTTGTAGAAAAAAGACAGAGATCCAACTTTACGACAATGAGAAAGAGGCTCAAGCTTAGCAGATAGACCGGGTCCAACTATGTTTATAATGCGTTTTTAGACCTTGTCTAGAAAAGAAAGAGCATTATTAGAAGAACCAGCCCAAATATGACAACAGTATTCCATATAAGGTTGAATAAAAGATTTGTAGAAGTAGAGAATAAAATCAGGAGAGAAAATGGTAAGCACAATTAAGAGAAGCAACCTTAGCAGATGTTAATTTAGCAATTGATTGTATATATGGTTTCCGTGAAAGGTCAGTAGTAAATGATAACCCGAGAAGACATAAAGAAGAGAACTTAGTTAGAGGGTTGCTATTTATTAAAATTTATGTCGACAGTACTGCGATAATTCTTTGCAGTAAATAACTATCAGTTGTTTATTGCAATATTATTTGCTGGAATTAAAGTTGCAATATATGTGTATATACAGGGTTATTCTGAGAAAAAAGTTTGGGTGGCGGTACCCCCTCTCCTTGGTGATACCCCCCACCAAAGTTTTTGCAGGCGTGTGGGCAAGCACTAAAAGATTTGAGCACGAAAGCGCTGGCTAAACAGAGAAGACTAATATGTATATATATATATATATATATATATATATATATATATATATATATATATATATATATATATATATATATATATATAGTATGACAATTTGTATGTAATACTATTTAAAGAAGTATTGCAATTGAAATTTTTATTAATTTTGTTGAATTGTTGAAAAAAAGAGATGTGGCTAGCAGAAAAGCGCATGGTGGATATTTTAATTACTATTTTTTAAAGTTCATTTACTTGCGCAAACTTTGATATATTGCAATTTTATTTTTTATATTAGATCTTTTGTTATGTTTAATGTCTTTAAATTGTATGTTTTAGTTTGTTATTCAATTGTTTAAAAAATTGTTTTTCTTACAGATGAAAAATTAGTTTATAAAACTATCTTTTTCTGTTTTATAATACTTTAAGTATGCTATAATATATCATTATTTTTCCATAAATCGATCTGTCTTAGTTTTCTATATCATCCTAATCACATTTTTTGTTTTCATTTTACAATATTACAATAGTTAATAGCAGTAAATTGTTTAGTTTTATTGCAGTCAAAGTTTAAAAGCCACTGCAAGTCCCAAGCCACTACAGAATGATCATGTTTGATATTACCTTTCTAATCTAAGCAATTGAAAAGAAAAGACATTTTGAAAAGACAGGAGTATAAAGTTGAGTCATTAGCAATCCTATAAGATTAGATGTAAGATTGTTAGAAAGATAATTGATATTAGATGTAAGATAATTGTTGTAGATAATAGCACAGGATCAAAGATAGAACCTAGTGATGACTAGGTTGACTTAAATACTAAAAATATTAAAATGATTTAATAATCTCAAAAACTTTCTCAGATACATGACGTAAAGCAAGCTTATGGTGAAGACCAGGATGCCAAATTTTATTGAAAGTTGTTGATGTGTCAAGAACAGTAGACCTTGCCTCACTGTTTCCATCTAATGCACAATAGTAAATTTTTTGTTAATACAGTTGACAATTCAGCAAAAAGAAAAATATTGTCTGGGCCACAAACTATAGAAGACTTTAATTGAGAAATGACTTTAGCAACAGAAGCTACAGTGATTTGGATATATAACAATGGGTTAGTTTGTTTAATTGGAAGAGTGTGGCCATTAGGTTTGAGGGACAAATTAGGAAAAATTTTTTACAAATAGTTATGCCTTATCCTTATGTATATAATTATCTTTCAGCTGTAGTTTAAGGATAAATTATCTTTTCTTTTTTTTTTCAAGCACGATTTACTCTTGATCTTCTTAAATTTAATCTTTCTTCCATTTATTTTTATCATCTATTTGTTTGCTTTACTTATCTCCCTTGACACAACTTTTCCTTTTTTTTTTCATAATTTTCTGTAGATGATTATTGCTCTATCTAATTCAAGCAACACAGATTTCTTGCACAAAGTATAACAGATATAAGTTATTTAATACTTTATAAAAAATATTCCATAATTAATACAAATTTATACATATATTAAACTGTGGGCATCATTCGGCTATAAAGAAATGTCTATATAGTCTATATAAGCTACAAAGTCTGGCTATATATTATGCCTGGCTATAAAATATATGCCTGGCTATAAAATATATATTATGCCTGGCTATAAAATATATATTATGTCTGGCTATAAAATATTAATTATGTCTGGCTATAAAATATATATTATGTCTGGCTATAAAATATTTATTATGTTGGCTATAAAATGTATATTATGTGCGGCTATAAAATATATAAAGACTATAAGAAAGTATGAATATAGTCTGACAGTGTGACATTCTAATAGGCTTTAAGTATTAAAATCACATATTACACAATTATATTTTTGTAATACAAAACTGTAATTTTTTTTTTATGTTTCAATATAAATATATCAAGTTGGATATACTTATTACCCTGTAGTACCAATTGAAGTGCGAAGTTTGTTTAAACTTGTCATGTTAACAGGCATGTGCTTTTTATATAGTTCCCGCATTTATTTTTAAATGACCTTTAAATGACTCGTTGTTCAATGGGGAACAATTGTCATTCCAACAAGACAGTGCCCCTTTGCACAAAGCGAAGACAACACAGAGGTGGTTGACAGCCAATGTGCCCAATTTTATCTCCACGGATGCCTGGCCGTCAGCATCACCAGATCTTAATCCATTGGATTATGCAATCTGGTCTAAACTTGAGGCGAAGGTGTGCTGCAAACCTCACACTTCTGTTGATGCCCTCAAGCGATCACTTCTCAGAGAATGGGATGCTTTATCCATGGATACTGTGCATAAATCAATCGAGGAATGGCGTCCAAGACTGGAGGCGTGCATACGGGCAAAAGGGGGTTATTTCGAGGACTCTCTTTATTAATGTGTACTTTAGCATTTTAACTAAAACATAACATGCATATAATATGTATATATTACATTTGTTCTTGCATTAAAAACATGTTCTCTTAAATTTTTTTACTAAATTAAAATTTCGCACTTCAATTGGTACCACTAGGTATTCTATATGATTTTTTATTAGCAGTAACTTTTTTTTTTTTTTTTTAGTTATCAAAATTGAGTTTAACATTTATTATTTGATTTTCTGTTTTTTTTTTTTTAATTTATACAAGTTTTTTTTTTTTTTTTTACAGATCAAAATGGATAACTTATCTCAGGCTAGTAATCAACCTTTAATGCAGTTGGATGATAATGATGATGATGGTATTTCACTGAAGAGCACTAACAAACAGAGGAACACTGACAAACTTCAGTGGAGTACTGATGAATCTCAGAGAAGTACTGACAAATCTCAAAAGAGTACTGATGAATCTCAGAGGAGTACTGACAAATCTCAAAAGAGTACTTATGAATCTCAGAGGAGTACTGACAAATCTCAAAAGTGTACTGATGGATCTCAGATGAGTACTGAAAAATCTCAAAAGAGTACTGGATATAATAGTAATGATTTTATTAAAGCTCAAAATTCTGTGGAAATCAATACTAGCAAAGAAAAAACAAGTTTGTTAGAAAAATCCATAAAAAATATAGAGCCAATTTCATTAGCAAAATCTGTGAAAGTCAATGGTATTAAAGAACAAAGTTTATTAGAAAAAATCAATATTCAATTGTAAGTTTTCATAGTTGTTAAATTACTGGTTTAACAAATTAATAATAAATTTGCATTAAATTTAATTTTAAATTGAAACCTTTTGCTGATCCCAATTATGTTCTTAGTTTTTCTCCAACACTTTATTATATGTAAAGTGTTGGAAAAAAAGTAAGAAAATAATTGTTTTTAGTTTTTCTATAGTTATATATGTAATATATATATATATATATATATATATATATATATATATATATATATATATATATATATATATATATATATATATATATATATATATATATGTATATATATATATATATATATATATATATATATATATATATATATATATATATACATAAGTGTTTGCTGATTTGTCTAATATTTTCAAATTTGAAGAATTTTTGTATAATGGCAATCAGATTGCATGTTACTCAGTTGCTCATTTTAAAATATGTGAAATTTCTTTTTCAGAAATTATCAAATTATCATGAAAAATGGTGTTTAACAGTTACTTCATAAAATTATTAAATTATATTATGTCACTGGAAAAACATTTTTTACATTCAAATTTAACTTTTTGTAATGAAAAATTATGTGCTAAGCCATAAACAGGTCAACGTTTAAACCAGGATGCTCATGTAAAATTATGTGCCAAGCCATAAACAGGTCAACATTTAAACCAGAATGTTCATATAACTGAAGCTTACCAATCATTTAAGATGAAACCATGTTGCTTCACTGTTGTATGCTTTACTGTTAGATAATTTATTTTGAGACAGAAAAAACTAAACAACTAAACATATAAACAGAGATTTTGATTGGCTCTTGTTTTAACAACTTTTGATTTGATTGGCTTTTGTGTTAGCAACATTACATTGAATTCTATTTATTATGATATCATAAATACACCAGTGATACTAAGTAATAATTTATTGATACAAAATAATACAAAAGTGATACAAAATAATAATTTACTAATTGAATTAAATAAACTCAAACTTTATTGAACACATCACTTTACAAATAATGTATAATCATTGACTAATTTGTTAGGATAAACATAAATTAGTGAACCTAAATAAACTGATTCTCCAATCTTATGTTATATTCTCTCCTTGACTGAGGGTTTTTGTGTCAATTGTAAAGTATCTTGACAAGGTTTTCTAATTCTCTCCTTGATCTCATGAACCTGCTAACTTTCAAATGCTTATACTCAATCTTTATGCCATGCCCAAACCACCTTAATCATCAATGATGCACCCTATCAAGTACATTCACTATTACCAATCTCTGTCTAAGATGATTTTTCTACATCTTAACACTCTGGTTTCATATGGTGTTTAGTTTCCCTTTAATCTTAATGATGCAATTCTTGATGTTAGTAGTAGAGATAAATCATTAAATTGGCCTAGATTACTAGGTTACTAGGTTATTATGTACACCTTACTTTTGCTCTAGATGTATTTTTTGATCCACCAGTTTTTGACTTCTTTGTTTAACAAAAGTATTTTGTTAAACAAAGTAGTGAAAAATTATTGAAAATAATGAAAATCATATTCTTGAACAAAACAAAACAAAATCTAAAGTTGTTATAAATAAGTTATTGTTTGAGATCTTGACAATTTTGTAGATCATGTTGGTAAAACAACATTTAAAAATGATTATCAACACTTTTATATTACTTCCTTGACTTGTATAACTTGTATAACTTAAAAAATTTTAAAATTGGTTACTAAATTTTATAATTGGTTAATTTTAATTACCCCACCCCTTCCCTCCCTTCCCCCTTCCTCCTCCTCCTATTAACAAATTTTTGTTCATTAAGTTAACAAGTTTAGCTTTTGTAGACCAGTGGGTTTTTTAGACCAGTGAGCATATGAAAAAAAAAAAAAAAAGATTATGGACAAAGGTATATAATAAAGAACAATTAATTGATTTACTGATTTTAAAGACTGTTGATGTCTACAGGTGTGATATTGTAGTGCATTAGTATGTTCTTATTTGCGCTAAAAAATTTACAAAAATCAGATAAAACACTAGAAATTATAAATTACTCAAGAAAATCATAACTTTGTATTGATAATAATAGTATTTAGGTCAAATAACTAAGAGATCCTAATTTTGATGTCACTATGAATTTTCGATGGGGCTGCAATATGTGAGTTAGTTGGCCTTATTATTCTGCATACAATAAGGAAAGATTAGGTTGCAATCTGTTAGCCTATATAGAGATGAATTTGCTCTTTTCACTGGATAAATGGACAACAATCTGAGAGAATCAAGAAAAATATTGTTTATTTTTTTTAAAGGGATCCCTAAGTGCTATAAAGATATGATCTCATATGATAAAGCATTAAAAAAAAAATGTTTGATGTATATTATTTTTTCTAAAACATAATAATGAACACACACTAACAAATTTAATTTTCAAAAAAACGCTTTTCTTCTATTAAAGAAAATGCGCCTTGTCCAAAGTTTATTGACTTTATTGCCTCAAAGACTAACGTTAGTACGTCAAATTAAACAAAGTAGACAAAATGTCATTATTGCAAACTTATTAATTGGGAATTAAATTTAAAAGTAAAGTCGTTTTTTTTCAACTAACACATAATTACTTACAAGAATAAGTTTTGTAGCATTTTGTGAAAATATATTTGTATATTAAATTTTTTTTTTTAATATTAATTTATATATTTGTGTTATAAGGGCAATTCCACAGCTAAAAATGAATAGAAGTCAAATTTTAAAGTCTTTTTAGTCAATTAAAAACAAATGAATATTGACTATGAAAGTTTATTTAAAATATTTTCTTAGTAAAAAAATAAATTTATTTCAGTAATTTTTATGGTTTCAAAAGTGACGGTTACTCTCATTTTTGCTTGATAAAAAAAATAATGATTGTAAAATGTTTTAGTTAAATTAACATTTATGTTAAATTGCTATATTTTTTTGGTTCAAATTGATAAGGTTGAATAGACATTTTATTAGAAATTAAACTAAGACAGGGCTCGAATATACAAAAAAATCTAATCGCAAAAAAATTTTTTTTTTTGCTCTCTCCCCTTCCCCCTCTCTCTTATAGCTCTCTCCCCCCCTCCCCTCTCTCTTATAGCTCGCGCCGATGTGGGGAAAAAATTATCGTCAATAAATCAAAAAACATCGTCAAAAATTTAATAAAAAATTAGATACCATGTTTTTTATAATTTATTGTTTCTTGAATAAAGGACTAATAAAAGTTTAAATATAATTAAGTTTTTCATTTAAATGGTTGATGTTTTTAAACCAATAAAAGATAAAACAAAAAAATTTGGTTTAATAAATCGAATTATAGTTCATGTTTAAAATAAGGCTTAAAAATGTTAAAGTAAAAAAATTGCTGGTTTTTATTAGCATTTTTATACTGTTTGAAAAAAAAAACTAATAAAAAAGAATTAACTAATAATATATTAATTAATAATTATATATTAATTCTTTTTTATTAGTTTTTTTTTTCAAACAGTATAAAAATGCTAATAAAAGTCAGTAATTTTTTTGCTCTAACGTTTTTAAGCATTATTTTAAACATGAAGTTTTGATAAACAAAGATAAAAACCAACTTTTCAACTTTTCGCTTTAACGAAAATGGAGTTGTTTTTTAGTGATTTCGGCAATTGCTTTTTGTTAGCATGCATTTATTATTACAATTTAGGGAAAAAGAAAAAAAACTTACATATTTTTTTTTTATGCTCTTTCATATGAGATCATATGTTAGGAGCACTTAGGGATCCCTTTAAGGAGAAGTTTAATCTAAAACTAACTATAAAAACCTACAAAATTGTAAACTTCTCGATATCCATTTAATGTCAGATGATACTTTCCAGCCATACAGTAAACCAGGTAACTACCCATTATACATCAATATAAGTTCTAACCACCCCCTAGTATTGTTAAATCCATACCAACCATGATATGCTACCATATTAGATATCATCTAGCAAGAAAGTTTCTGATAGAGCAATACCATTTTATAACAATTTATAATGCTTTGGCAGCTTGTGGTTATAATGAAAAGATTGTATTTCGAAAAAAACTTGCCTCAAAATCAAAATCAAGATCATGAAACATTTGGTTTAATCCCCCATTTCCCCAGAAAATTTTCTAAATCTAATTGAAAAGCATTTTCCAAAAACACACATGTTTTGCAAAATCTTTAACAACAATACGTAAAAGTCTTTCTAACACCACCAGTATTAATATCTAATTTTTCTGATATATAAGTATTCCAACATGTAACTGTTGGCAATCTTCACAATGTCCTCTACAAGATATGTGTCTTAAAGTAAAAATAAAATTTACATCTGCAATATAAACACATCACCACAGGATAATGATTTTAATTTATAGGTCTAACGGAGTGCACCTTTAAATATTTCTGGTACAAACATAAAAACTCTTTTGCTGTTACAAACATAAAAACTCTTATGCTGGTACAAACATAAAAACAATAGTAAAGTCAATTCTATAGAACTAAAAAAAAAGGATTTTTAACACTTATTCTCCTGAAGAAACATTAATAGAGCAGAGCCATTTAAACTTGAAGGAAATAATTATAATCTTTGTTTAATTGAAGAAATAAATATATAATTTGTTTACTAATAGATTCATAATTGTTTAATTTTTTTGATTAAGTTAATCTTTTTTCTTAAATCAGGGCTCCTTATATGAATGTTTTACAAGAAGGATTTAACACAATGATGAAGATTTATAATGCTGATGAGACGACTCCTGGTTGGCGATTTACTGGTGCCAAAGAGTAAACTTTTTTAAAACTACTTAAAATAATTTTAATGTTAACTTTGTTTTGTTTTTTTAACTTGTTTAAAATTAATCCTTTTTCATTGATAAGAATATTGTTTTTTATTGTTTTCAATATTTGATATTTAGAGGCTTTGTTGAATTATTGTTCAATAAGGCATTTGATAATTGGATTTTGATAATTGTTTTAATTATGATTTAAAAATTTGTTTAGTGGAGTAAGAATGTTCAGATGTGATAAAGATGAAATTTCAGAAGCGCCAACTTTTAAAGGGACTGGTGTCATTAATGTACCACTGGGTTATGTTATTCAATATGTTTCATCGCTGTCTTTTAAGTCAGAATATGATAAAATGTTTGAATCAGGTATTGCTGACTGTTTATATTACTTTATAAGTTATTATGTGTGAATATCTGATCATGTTTGTATATATTATATTTTACAAAAAAAAAAAAAAATTATGCAAAGTATATGCAAGCATAATGAGAGTTGTAGTCCTCAAAATTATATCAGCTTTATCAAAATTATACTAGCTTTATCGAAATTATATTAGCACAAAATGACAAATGAGAAATACTATTTTCAGTAAAGGCAATACATAAAAGTAATTTTTTTAAAACTTTTGTTTTGTTAGGTATTTAATTAAAAATGGAGTTGATTTTATATCGCTAGTATAAAATATATCATTTTCATTAATACTAGAGTGATTTAATGTGAAGACTCATTATTGATAATTGGTTTACGATTTTTGAATTTCTGGCACAATCGAATGCACTTAGTTCTATCAACTACTTTTTGCTGGTCAGAACATTGGAATTCTCATTTTTTTCTTGGTTTTATTTTTATCTTTTTTTATATTTACTAATGTGATGCTGAGTTCAGTTGAACTTTTTAGCTGTCAGTCGTTGAGAAACTCCATCTTTATGGTCAAACATAAGTTTAAGCCTTTTAATGTATATTTTAGTCATTTCTTCAGCCTTTCATCCACTTCCATGAACTCTTTGGTAACCAGATTTACTTTCAGCACATTTAATTATGTTGTAGATAGTACTTTTAGGTGTATTCTTTGTTTTAAAGTGGTCATAAGTGAAATTTTAACCAACATATCTGTAGTCATGTAAAACTTATACACAGGTTTAATCCTTTCTTGTTTTGTATCTATTTTTTATTAATTTTTCTATAAAATGATAAAACACATAAAATAATTTAAATCTAGAATAAAATACTTTCTAAAGCATTTTTCTTTTTTGTTTTACCTTATACCTTAAAAAAGTTGTGTCTTTAAATCCAGTATTGTTTTTCCGTTGTCCATTGTTAAACAAGATTATTGTAAGTTTTGGTCTCAAAATAATATCTTATTCTCCATTTTTGCTAATTATGGACCTTATTTGGCTTTGACCAATTCTTTTTCCATTCAAGCATTAATTGATTAGTTGTGAACCAAATCAGGTGGTTAAGTTGTCCTGGGCAACAGATCTTTGTTTTATGTTTTTAGAGTGTTAGCCTGGAAAAAATTATATTGGGATATTTAGGCTGCCCTTGGCTAACATGTAATAATACAAGAAAGAAAAAAAAAGGTCATTGAATTTCAACATTTAAAAAAGTTAAAGACAAGCCATGGCTCATGCCTATGGACCCTAACTCAATTTATACAAACAATATAAGGCCCCACATAAATATAACAATAACAAAATTTTTTAGATTAACACGTTTCTTTGAAATTATTTTCAAATTATTATTATTATTTCTTATTTATTTTTTGAATATCCTCAGATATTTTTATATTCTATAAATGTAAAGTTATGAAAAAAGATAATTTTCTAACTTGTTTCATTCTAAGCAATCTTCTTAAGCTTTTTCATATTTACATTGGGTCTACTAATGAAACCATGCAATTCTTTTGTCTCTTTGTATAGGTATGTTGGTTCATTTAGCCTATATAAAGATTACACACCTATTAAAATAAAGGTAAAGCTATTACTAACAATCCAACTGCTATTTTACACCCTCAGTACAACAAAGCAACTTTTCTCAAGACCCATTTCTTTCCCTAGATGTAGAATCTACAAGATGTAGAATCTACAAGATGTAGAATCTACAAGATGTAGAATCTACAAGATGTAGAATCTACAAGATGTAGAATCTACAAGATGTAGAATCTACAAGATGTAGAATCTACAAGATGTAGAATCTACAAGATGTAGAATCTACAAGATGTAGAATCTACAAGATGTAGAATCTACAAGATGTAGAATCTTGTGATCTTTTATTCTCAGCATGAGTTTTCTGACAGCTGCATAAAGATCAATGTTTTTTCTAAGTAAAATGTTTCTAATTGTATTTAAAGAAAAGTATTTTATATTTTCTTCATTAAGAATGTTCATTCACAATAACTTAACCTTTTAATAACTGTCTGCTTAATAACTTTTAATAACTGTCTGCTTAAGGGTTTAAGCGATTTTCAAACTTTTTAAAATTAGTTTTGTCTGATTCATAAGTCGTTGTTTAATTTTAAAAAAAAGAACCTGTTTTTAATTTTAATTCCTCTAAAATAGACAAATATCTTTACCTCTAAAATAAACAAAAATCTTCATCTGTTGTAAAGACATGTTTGCCCAAATCAAATATATTTAAAATACAAATAAATGCAATAATTTGCTTTCAAAATTTGCTTTCTGGGTTTTAACTTATCTGTTTATTGTTAATATAATTTTTTTTATCAACTTAAAAAAAAATCAATATCATATAGAGAAACTTGTAATAAATAAATTTAGCTAAGGAATTTAATAACAATATTTTGCCAACACAGATCTTATAAGACAATTTATCTTAAAATAAAAAAATTGATTATCTTATATGATTGATAAGACAAATATCATAGAAAGAGAATGGAAAGAATCTTACATCTAGGATTTTTTTTTTATGTTAGTTCACCTCCCCAAGGCCATAAAGGCCACTGCAATCATGTAGGCTACTTAAATGTGAAATCTGTTCTATATATGTATCTGCTAATGTAAAATGTTATTGGATAAAAAAAAACTGTTAAACAATAAAAAATAAGAAATATTTTTATGATAATTAAGAAAAATTTCTATGATAACCTATGATTTCTATGAAAACCTATGATAACCTATGATTTCTATGATAACCTATGATAATCAGAAGACTATTGAAAAAATTTAAAGTACCAAACTTCAATTTTAATGCTGAAAATTACATCATATGATCAGTTAGTTCTGATACTGGGACAAATTAATCAATGGTTAATAGTAATAGTATCAAAAACAGCTAAACTGAATAAGCTCGTAAAAGGAATTTCCGGAATAGCATCAAAATAGAGAATGAAACAAAAATCCAAAAAGCAGAATAAGATCGAAATAGCTCAAAAAGGAATAAGTTTGAATAAGGACTCTCTGGATTAATATCAAAATAGAGAGTATACTAAAAAAATTTCTTTTGAAATGAAAGACTGCCTACCCATACCAAACCCTTAGTCCATGTAGCAGCACTCCTTGCATGTTCTACCTATTTTTCAGTCAATGTAGCAACAGTCCTTGCATGTTCTAATTCTTTGCTAGTTTTTTGATACTATTCGTAAATTTCGGTATTATTCCATATAGGCATTTTAGACTTTTGTTTTTCGAGTTAATTACTTTAAGATATTTTTCGATATTAATCCCAAAAAAATGTTTTGATCAAAAAAAATTTGATAATAATTTGTTTTTCAATCAATTTTTTTTTTTTGATACTTTTCTGCTTTTCCTAATCGATTATTAACTTTTATTAATAATAATTAAGTCAGGTCAGGATCATCTCCATCACACTGTTACTGGTAACATGTAAACCAATATATACATGTAGTGGGCAAGTGTTAACATCTGGCTACTTTTTTGTAGAAAACCTCCTAGGCAAAGATTTTATGGGTAAGTTGATTATCAGCACTAAGGCAATTGTATAGCTTATTGCTTAGGGTGTTGTACAGTCTATGACTGAGTCAAGTTTTTTATTCATTTAAAACATGGTTATAGTATCAAAATGTATTAACATAAAAAACCATTTTTATTATTAAGTTTTTTTTATTACTAATTTTCATTAAAACGCTTGTCTTGTATATTCAGAGTTTTCAAAAGCTTAAAAAAATAGTTAAATCATAAAATTATAAATAGTAGTTATAAATACATCCATAGTCGTTATAAATACATCAGCCCAAGATAATTTCAAACAACTAGAAGCAGGTAGTTTAAATTTTCAAATGTATTTTAGAAGCAAACATTTTTCTGCAACAACATACAAAGCAAAAGGGAAATAGGTCTAGGTTTTAAACACCCATCAATTCTATTAACAGAAAATAATTGACCAGAGTGTTATAGAAAAAGAAATAATTGGAATGGACTTTAGAGAGTTTAGATTTTCATTTGCTTTTAATTTTAAACCATGCGCTGCACTATTTCAAATGTTCCAACGTAAGATTGATATCAAAGTTTATGTTACAAGATAACATTGATAATAAAGTTTGTTTTTTTTAAACATCTCCACTTCCAACAAGACTGCAAGCAAGCACTATTATTGTTGGTAGTTACTGGTAGAAAAAAGATAAAATTTATTAAGCAAGATAACAATTAACAGACCACTAAAAAGATTGCAAATAATATAATTTAGGAAAACAAAATGAAGGTAGCATTTCCAAAGAACTCATGTTTAAGGGAAAAAAATAGACAAAAAATTATTTTGAAGCATTTCAAGGAACAGTCACAGTAAAAAGATAAGATTTAAATGAGTGATGAGTAACATGAGAATGAATTTTAGTAGATCTGAGACAGTTATAGACTGAGGTTTTGACCTCAGTGTAACTAACATACCATAGACTGAGAAGTCTGAGTTTTGATTTTTGCAAGTCTTGTTCTAGTCTTCTTTTTTATGTTTTTCAGAATCTGTTTGTTATGTGTGTTATGTGTTAAAAATTCGAAAATTTTTTTTTTTTTATCAAAAACAATTGTTTTTTTTATTTTAAATATTTTCATCATCATCAAACATCAACAATTGTTTTTTTTATTTTAAATATTTTCAGGAACTGTTGTGGAAGTATTTTGTGACAACTTAACTAAGGTAATTATTATTATATGTAAAAAATCAAATTGAAAATGGTTTAAAAGAAAACGAGGATATATTTTTTTCAGGCTCATTTTGGGGTTTAAGCTCCTTCTGTTACTTATCTGTAGCACTTGCTATTCATGATTTACTACTCCAAAAAAATTTTCAAAGATAATAAACTCAAATAGTAGTTTTGTGATAAATTTTTTTGATGAGCATCATTATCAAAAAATATTGTATAAATAATCAATAATTTTGAGTAACTGTAAAAGAAGTTTTTGCTTAAATCTTGGTATCAGAAAATGTTTTATTAAAAATTATTTAAAATAATAAAAACAAAACTTTAATCATTTTAAACTTAATGTTATTTATTTTGAGCTAATAAAAAAAGTTAAACCAAGTACTAAGTCAGAGAAAAAAAAAAACATATCTATTTTTTTCACATGTTTTGCATCTTTGCAGTATTTAAAACTATATTTTGTTTTATATATTTGTCTAAATGTTTTTGTTTTATATTCTTTTCTAAGAGATTTTGTTTTATATACTTTTCTAAAAGGTTTTGTTTTATTTACTTTTTTAAAAGGTTTTGTTTTATATACTTTTCTAAATGTTAATATTTTTGTATAGATAACATCTTAGGGTTTCACCCTTGAAATTTATTTTTTTGAAACAGTAAAACCAATTTTTAATAACAAAAAAGTCTAATCTATCTCGGTCTTGTAATGATAACAAAAAAATCTGCATCTAAAACACCTTCTAACTATTTTAATATATCTTTTACTAATATGGTCTGTAAAGCAACCCTCCATCAGTTGAATCTTACCTTTTTCAAAATTCACCAGACTTGCTTGCTCCTAGCAAGACTAATTTATATTCTGCTATTCCTTCTTCTCAGTGATGATGGGTACTATCCTTTGATTTGCAAAGACTCCAAAGTCACATGCTTGGCTTAGGGGTATACATACGCATCAATTCACCTATTTTTCATCAAATCAAGTTTGAATCCTTTAACCGTTTATTTATGTGCTTTTGCTTAACACCTCTTCACTCTTTCAACTTTCTCTTTGTTTTTTATCGTTCTCCTTCTTGACTGCACTTATTTAGATGTAATTTCTGATCAAATTTACCATGCCCTCTCTCTTTACCCCTCTGCCAATATTGTTGTTATTGGTGATGCTCACCACACTAAATAGCTTGGCTCTAACACCACTGACCCTGTTGGCATTAAAGCCTATAACTTCTGCATTTTTCAATCTCTTACTCAGATAATTAACTTTGTTATTTATTTTCCTGACAAACTTAATCATTTACCTTCACTCCTTGATTTATGTCTGGTCTCTAATCCTAGCTTGTGTTCAATTTATCTTCTTTTCCTTTAGGTGGTTCTGACCATGCTATAATTTCTATAACTCTTTTATCTCATACTTCATTTTCGGACTAACTCTATCATTGCACTACTTTCTTCTACTCTAAAGCTGACTGGGTTTCTTTTTGTAATTTTCTTTGTGACGGTCCTTATGTTGATGCCTTTCCCTCTCAGCTGAAAAATGTACCTCCTACGTAACTTTCTGGATTCAGGCAGGAATAGAAGCTTTTATTCCTTCTTGTTTTATTCAACTCCAAGCTTTATTCAACTCCATGGTTTTCACCCTTTAGTGCAGCTGCTTTATCTAATTGTAATTATTTTTTTCATCTTTTTCAAAAGAACAACTCTCTTGAGAACAAACTGCTATTTGTTATTGCAGAAATCAATGTAAAAACGTGCTGTCAGAAGTTAGGGTCTAGAGACTTCTGGAAATCTCAATTCAATTTTATTGTGCAATAGATGGAGGCAGAGAGGATAAGGCTATTGCTCTTGACATATCTAAGGCTTTCGACAAAGTTTGGCATGCTGATCTTCTCCATAAGCTTGTTTTATATGGTGTATCTGAAAAAGTTTTTGAGATTTTCAAATCGTTACTTTCTTAAAGTTATCCTTGAAGGCCAACACTCTTCTTTATTTCCAGTAACTTCTGGGGTACCTCAAGGTTCTATCCTTGGCCCTGTCTTGTTTCTTATCTACATTAATGATCTTTCCAATAATCTTACAACTAAAGAAGCTTTTTTTGCTGTTGACTCACTGCATACTCCTGTCTAAACAAAAATTCTTCTATTTTTGATTGCTTAGAACAGGGAGCCACTTTTTAATCTGATCTCACTTCTGTAACAGATTGGGGCTTACAGTGGTTTGTAAATTGGGGCTTACAGTGGTCTGTAAATAACAAAACTCAATTATTTACTGCAAACAACTATCTCAGTGCTGTCAACATTCCTTTACTAATCAATGGCAACCCTCTCACTGAGTCCTCTTCTTTACGTCTTCACGGGTTATTGTTTACTACTGACCTTTCATAGAAACCATATATACAATGGATTGTCTGCTGAGGTTGCTTCTCTTTATTGTGCTCTTTATTTTCTCCATTCTCTACCTCTACAAATCTTTTATTTGTCCCTATATGGTATACTGTTCTAATTTTGAACCTTGTCTAGAAGAGAAAGAGCATCATTATAATTTCTAATGATGCTCTTTCTCTTCTAGACTAGGTCCAAAAACGCATTGTAAATAAAGTTGGACCCAGTCTATCTGCTAAGCTTAAGCCTCTTTCCCATTGTTGTAAAGCTGCACCTCTTTCTCTTTTCTACAAATACTATTGTGGTTGTTGCTCAAAGGAGCTATTATCTCTAATTCTATCAACTAAAACTTATTCTTGTTTGACTCGTTATCAGCAAAGTCTCATTCTTTTACTGTATCTGTCACTGCATGCTCTAAAAACTTTTATTTGTCTAGTTTTTTTCCCAGCACCTCAACCCTTCGGAACTCTCTCCATACACTCTAATTCTTTGGAAATCTCTCCCATGGTCATGTTTTTCTGACTCATACAATCTTTAAGTTTTCTATCAACCGTTTCCTTACTCTATAGTTTTTTTTTCTAGTAACTCCCAACTTAATTGTGATTGCTTGCAGCCTTGTTGGAAGTGAATCAAAGTTAAAAAAAAAAAATCTCAGTTTTACTGTAAACAGTCTGCAAAGCATAATAACTTATTTACTTTTTAAATATATAATGTCAGACAATGGTTCAGAAATCATTAATTTTTATTCTTATACCTTTCTGTTCAAAGTATTTGACAGCTTTTCTTTTCCTGCAAATTTTTGCATGATCATTAATAATGGTGTGTATCAATTTATTGGCATTTGCTTAATTGGCCACTTTTTGCAAAATCGCAACAGGTATCAGCCTTTTTTTTATTAATTTACTGAGTTTCACACTGGTAGCATATTAATATTTTTATCCTACATTTGATAATAATTATATAATAAGTAAATTAAATTTTTTGCATTACTTAGATTATTACAATATTTTTTATTCTTAAGATGTTTACAAGCTTTAATTTAACAGCTGTTATATATTATATGGTATATAAAAGTATTGCCATAATATTGTTTTTAAATAATTATATTTTGTGTTGTTCTATCGTTATACTTAAAAGAAACCTATTTAAACATTGTTTTCTATTTGTGTTCAAGTATAGCTATATTTCTATATATATTTTTTTATATTTTAATTCACCTCCTCAAAACCATAAAGGCCACTTTAGTAGAGGAGGCTGCTTAAGTTATGGTTACAATCCTATCTAAACTTTATAACTCCAAAACACAAACCTTGACAAACAAGGCTGCTGTGTGGTGAAACAAGTTGTGGTGAAAGCCCTGTATTACCAGAGAAGTAGTGGGGATCGAACATCACAAAATGAAATTATTCTAAAAACAACTTAATTATCTAAAATTAATTTGAAATCTAAACAACATATGATAGTTGTTTAGATATATAAATTACTAATAAATTAATAAAGAGATCTAAGTAAACTGCTTATGATAGTACCTTTTTCTTTTTAAAATTGAAATAAAAAGTGTTCCTCTAAAATTGTGTTTATTTTCTTGAAAGTTTTCTTTTCATAGTAAAAAAAATAAAAATTGTATATTTTTTTAACTAAATTTTTCTAATATCTTTTAAAATAATGATTTGGCTTTGATTTGGGTCCAAGTATTTTTTTACCAGTATTGATTCCATGAAAAAGATTACACGATTTAAAGTTGTATGGTTTTAAATTTTCAAATTGGCCAAAAAAGTGCTATCTGTACATCACTAATCGTTAATAGATTCTTTAACTATTTTCCACCATTTATCTAAGGCGATTTTTTTTTTTTTTTTGTGTTGAATTTGTATTAAAAAAAACATTTGTCAATTTTTCTGTTTTTCCGATGGAATTTCATTTTTTTTAATAGCGTTTGCTTGCAGTTTGCAAATGACCACAGATGTTTTTGTTAACTTGGTTATGTAAGATATCTCATCTTTTAAAGTACCCTAGCCCTATGGTCTTGTTTGCTAATAATTGATATTTAACTGTGAAGCTATAGCCAAATACCTAAAAGTATCAAGAAAGTCTGTCTTTTTGTTAACTATGGTGTTCATCATGCTGAATGCTTAACATGAGTACTACTGAATAGAAGGCATGCCTCTATAATTTTACTACTGCCCACTAATAGTCAACTTCTGCCCACCAATAGTCAAGATGTATGAGCTTTCCATCAGCAAATACAGGTGGAAATGCTATATATATCTTAAGTTGCATAACTTCTCAAACTAATACTACTTTATTCATATCTGTATTGAGAAAGAAAGGTAGGAGTTTTTTTTAGCATTCTCTCTGTAATTTCATGACCTTGAGACATATGGTCTCAAAAAATTTGGCTTTTTGTTCTGCGCCTTGTTTTGTTACCTTCTTCTGCTGCGTTTTACTTTTTTTTTTATCTATTAGTTTTTTTCTTTTATTTAATAGCCTCTTTAAAATTTTGTCACTTTCATCTTTATACAGATAGATGTCCTGTTTTTATAAACAAGAAGAATAAAATAATGTGAATGCAAGCATCATCTCAAACATAGGAAGAGTGCAATCTCAAACAGACAACAACTAATGTAAAACCCTTTGCTTTGGAGTGTTGTATGTGACACTTGTGATTTGAGTAATTTTTTTAGAAATGTACGAAGATCTGGGCTAAACTAAAATTAACATAGATATCATCCTAAATTTTCAACTACAAGCTGACAAAAGAAGTAAACTTTTTGACAACATTGTGCACATAATGACAAATATTACCATCAAACCCAAATCATTAGGTGTTTCAAACCCAATTATTTTCCCCCTAATATAAATGGTAGAATCAAGTAAATTGGAAACTAGATTATTTAATGGAACTGTTTCTTTGTTAAATAAATGAATAACAGCATTAAAAAGATTTTTTGCTGTTACCATAACAAGTAATAATGATGTCTAGTGTTTTAATACAACTATATTAACTTTGTCGCAAAAATATGCTACAAGCATACTAAGAACTTTCTCATTTTTTGTCAAGAAGCACTCGTCTATATTAAGGGAAAATGTTTTTATTTTCATATTATAAACAAGATCAGCATGAAAAGCTTCACCTAATCCTTTTCGCAGCTTATTCAAAACAGTTGCTCTAAACATTTTCAAATTTTTTAATACACAATGATCTTTAGACATTTCCTTTGCGTATTCAATCATCTCGGATATTTAAGATATTGGAAGATTGTGTTCACAAATAAATGCAAGTGTCATAGCTTCTGCATTTGATGTGCAGTCTCTAAAACTTAGGTTTAATGGTAGAAGCTTTAATACCAAACTAAACTAAGATGTAATATGTTGAACAAGAACTTTTTAAAATTAACAATTTTAATTTAGTTACAACATATTTTTTATTGTTTAGAAGAGTAGGGATTATTAAAGACCTTGATGAACATTAAAAGCTATTTTTGCCTTCATGCCTTTCTAGAATACAGATCAAAATAATGTTATGTTACCCTTTAACTACGTAGGTTTTGCTGTCATTTAATGAAAATCAGTTAAATTAAATAATGGCTTTAATTCAGAAGTTGGTTCATAGACAAAAATTTGAAGAACATAAGAACTCTCAAATAGTATACATAATCTTGCTGAAAGTTTATATTTATGTCATATTTTTAAATAAAAAAGAGGTACAAAGCTGTTTTTTCTTACCCTTTTTGTTCTGGGACCCAACATAGTTTTTTGTGGCTTTTTTTTGTTTTGTTTAAATATTAAACAAAAATAGTAAATTTTATTTTAAATGTTTCAAATTCAAAAATATCCACTAACAATTATAATATAGACTTTTAAGTACACTAACTAATTTTTTTAAGTATCCTCTAACTAAATCCATAAAAATAAGTAAAAATAAGTTTACCTAAATGTTTTTTCTTAGATGATTATTTTTAACAAATTTAACTAAATCAAGTATTAACTAGTAGTATTTTCAAATTGCAACTGCAGTACCACAACTACAGTACCACAACTACAGTACCACAACTACAGTACCACAACTACAGCACCACAACTACAGCACCACAACTACAGTACCACAAATTGCAGCTGAAGCACCACAACTACAGTACCACAACTACAGTACCACAACTACAGTACCACAACTACAGTACCACAACTACAGCACCACAACTACAGCACCACAACTACAGTACCACAAATTGCAACTGCAGCACCAGATTCAAAATATTAACTAAAACTTTAATTAATGACATGCACAACCTTAGTACATGGACAAACTTAGATGAAATCAAGGTTGTCATGAAGTCATTTGGTAAAACATTCATTAAATAGTAAACTGTTTTTGAAACACGTTAATTCCATGATAAATTCAGCAGTAAATCTATATTTTTGCATTATAATACTGAACTTTAGTGCTTCAATCCTAATCAATATTTTTGATGCTTGTAGCTTCAAGCTTGTAATATTTCTTGTATCTGTCATCTTTTACTTAGCATGATTCATAAATGAATCTTTAAAAAAATGAACTTATCTGACAAAAGTTATTAAAATTTTAAAAGTGAAAGTAGTATGATTACATTAAGTTTAGTATAAACATTAATTAGGTATATATGCATTTTTAAGATTTTCAACTTTGTTTTTTAGATTTTCAACTTAAAATATGTTCGTATATGGCCTGTTTCAGGAAGAGATTTTTGTTCAATTTCTATAGTTCGACATTTAAAAGATAATATGTATGGTATTTGTGTAAAAGCGGTAAGAACTTTTTTGAAAGAACTTTTTTAATTTCAAACAAAGTTTATAATTTTAATGATGTTTAAGTTTTTTTATTATTTTTTTGCTTGTGTTTATTATTTTTTATTATATATTTACCAAGGAGCGGAGCCTCGAAAAAGCCTTCTGGTTTGAAAGTTACAAAATTAATTCTTAGTGATAGAAAGGCTTATGAGCTCTATCACTAAGAAATGCTCAAAAAGATAGAGAAGCTTATGTACTAATTTTTGGACAAATTATTCCATAAGCCTCTCTTAAAATTTTAAATTAAATTACAAAATTTTTTTTTCACTTTTCTTAGGATTTTTAGATTAGATGAATATTTAAATTTTTAACTTGGAGTCTTTATGTATAATGGTGGCAAGAACTCCAGATCTCTAGGCTAAAAAACAATAAGTCAAAAAAACTCTTTTTTTCTTATTGCAGATTATAAGTCACTCAGCAGATCATAAGTCACTCAACACTTCCTAGACATCTAAGTCACTTAACACTTCTTAGACATCTAAGTCACTCAACACTTCTTAGACAACAAAGTCACTCAACACTTCTTAGACATCAAAGTCACTCAACACTTCTTAGACATCAAAGTCACTCAACACTTCTTAGACATCAAAGACAAAATAAAAATAGAGATTTAAAGCTGGATACCTTTTGCGACTTTGCATTCCTAGTATTTACTATATTTTAAAATATAATGTTATCTATCAGAATAATGTCATAATGAACTTTTTCCACTAATTGAGTAATTGTTTTAAATTTTTATTAAATTTTGGATTAAAGAGCCATCATACATCAAATTTACAAAGAATTGCAACAAGTAGTGTTCTTGATGGGGCAAATTAAATTGTTGTAATCATAGATTGCAATATTTACAGTAACTTCGTTTTCATCTAGTTGATTTAAAAAAAAGAATAATAGATGCTGTGATTAAATAGGATTTATAATAAAACTTGTACAACATTTTTTAATTTCAACAATTTAACTAATCTAGTTTAATTTATTTATAATTCAGTGAAACTTCATAAATCAAAAGTTCTATAAATCAAAGTTTTCAATTTGGAAAGAATATTTTAGTATATACAATTTTATGTTGGAAGTTTTCCACGTTGTTTTGTTGATGGGTAAACCAAAAAGAAAACTTTTATGGAAGGGGTGATATTTTTTATGATGGGCTGCTTATATATGTGATAAATTCAAAATCTTCTTGCAAACTTCAAATTATTTATTTATATTTTTTTTTTACATTTCCAAATGAAAAGAATTCCTAAAAATTTATTCTATTTAATTTGGGTTGTTTCCACACCTACAAAAAATAGTTTTTTATTTTTATTTTTATATTTTGTGCATCAACAACATGTTGATACACAATATAAAAATAACATCATGCATTTTTATTACAATACATAGAAACTGCAATACATAGTTACTTTTATGAACTCAGTGGGTTTATTGCTTCAACGTATAAATTTTTTTTTTTTTAAGTAGCAGCTGTTAGAAGTGTTTCAAATAAAACAAGGAAATTTAAGATAATATAAAATTTTATTTCTAAATTGACTTAATCAGGAAAAAAAAACATGAATCATTATTAATATTAACAAAACCACTCATCGTTATAGTATCAATGTAGTATTTTTGAATGTGCGATAAGTATGTCTAAAAAAGTATGTTTATAAGTATAACTAAAAAAAATGTCATTTCATGCATATCATATATCATATATCCAATGTATAATCAATTTGTTTCTTTGTTACCTCTAAAAATAAACATTTTTTTACTTTGATTCTTTTACAATGGCAAGACAAAAATATAAGATAAAAGCTTGTAGCTCAAAACAATAACTTTAATAAACAGATAGTCATTTATATGATGCTATTAATTATGGTTGTGTACAAAGCGAGCAGGGCATTTGGAATTCCTTATCAGACACTTCGTGATAAAATATCTGGAAGAACTTGTTTGAAGATACAACACTGCGGGTATGAATCGGTGCTAGGTGAAAACATTAAAAACAAGTTGGCCAAGTGGTTACTAACATGCACCAGAATGGTATTTGCCATGTCTGTAGTACAGCTATTAGATACTGTGCAAAAAAATTTGAATTCCAACAATATAAAAACACCATTTACTAAAAACCTTCCTTCAAAAGGTTGGTTTTATGCAATCTAAAAAAATGAGGTGAATACTTAAACCAAGCTAGAGGTGGAGTAACTAAAAAAGTCATAAGAAGTTGGTTTGCTGGAGTTCCGAAGCTTTTGGGAGAAAATGCTCAATATTTATATGATTTGATGCGCATTTTTAATGGGGGTATTAGAAAAAGTGAAAATGGTTGGATTACTGCAGAATGTTTTTTTGAGTATATTACAAACATTTTTCATCCATTTTTGATAAAAGAAGAAGTTCCTTTACCAGTTTTTTTTTTTTTTTTTTTTTTGGTTTATTTTTTGTCACAATTTTCTATCAAATTTAGTGAGTTTTGCCCTAAAAATAAAATAATTCTTGTTGCTTTTTTCCAAAATGTAACACATTTTGCAGTCGCTCGATGTGGCAGTTTTTGGGCCAATAAAAGCAAAGCGGAAATCTTTTTGCCAACAATAGTTCATTGACCATGAAGGACAAGAAATAAACAATGAAAATGTGCCAGAAGCATTAAATTCATTTATAATCAATCCTTCTATGGTAAATAATATTAAAAGTGGTTTTAAAAATACCAGAATTTTTTTCATTTGATGCTAATAGTGTTGACTACACACAAATTGTTCATAGATTGTTTGATTCAATTTTCTCTCCAACTCATTTAGAAGAGAACCATTTAAGTGTAACTTTATTAGCTTCCTCTCCATAACTTTTATTGAAAAGTACATTGATCCAAGTATTTTAGAGCAGTTTAAAATAGCTGACAAACATTTAGGTTGGAAGGGTGATTTTGGCTTCCTCCAGCTGTATCATTTTTAAAAAGAGCCATACCTGAAACCAGGGGTGTGGAGTCGTAAAAAAAAAGTAACGACTCTAACTCTGACTCCAGTTGTTGAAATTTTTTGAGTACAACTTGGACTCCAACTCCAAAGCAAAATTTTTCTAAAAAATTTTTTGAATTCTTTAAAAAAAATTGCGCAATAAGTTGAAATTTTTTTTTTTGGCAAATTTATGCAACATTCTTTGAGGTTTAGTATGAACATAAGGTTAATTAAATGTTTTGTACATACATGTGCAACACCAAGAAATATAACTATGGGAGTCGGAGCCGCGATATTTTTTAGTGACTCAAACTCCGCTAAAATTGTCGCAACTCCGCAACTCCGACTCCACAGCTCTGCCTGAAACATATAAGACCATAATTTTACATGTTCAAAAACAACAGGGTAATAAAAATCTATCAACAACTTGTAATTTAGAAAATATGCAAGTTATAACCAATATGGAAATGCCTGATAGCAATATTGCAGCAGAAATTGTAAATCCAATTGAAAGTATTTTAATATGGTCAAAACAACCACTCCAAATGTCTTAGTGCAAAATATAATGTTTACCATAGGTTATAATATCTGAAACATGGCAGCAAATTCAAAAGTACAAGAAAAGTCACAAATAAAGGATGAAAAATTAAGAAAAAATCAATAAACTGCAGATAAAAAGTCAAAATTAGATAAAGAAACCTGGTGGGAAAAAGATAGCCAGATGACACAAGACGTGTTTAAAATGCCTAAAACACATATTACTACGTATTTTATACATCTTAAGCGTGTTATTTACCCAAAAGTAGCAATTAGCTAGCTAGTCGCTAGCTCATTCCCACAGGGAAAATTAAGAAAGAAAAATTGGCTGTGAAAATAACGAAAAAGCTTAAAAGGAAAGAAAAAATATATAATTTTGAAAAAGAAAAAGAAAGTTGCAAAAGAAAAAGAAAGCATTGAAACTGAGTCAGAAAACAAGTTCTGTTCAAATGTTGACAGTAATTATAAAATAAGATTCAGATAATTATGATGAAACTCTAGTTAAAGATCTTAAAGGATATGTACAAAAGTAATGGAAGTACTTTTTAGTTTTAATTCAAAATAATATTTTCATTATTATATATTTAATAATTATTTAAGTCTTTTTTTAAAATTTATATACCTAAAAGCGTTTAATAAAATGTTACTTATGCATTAATCTTTTTATTTGAAACTGCGACCGCATTATAAACGAGACACTAAAGCAGATTTTAAGATACATGATAAGTGTCAACAATATATACAATAAGTGCAAAACACTTATGATTAGCATGGAAAACTGCGCTTTAAAAGTGAACAAAATTAGTACATTATTGATTTAAATTTCAGAGTAAGAAAAATTTTATACTAAACCTTAGAGTATTACATTGACTGCAGCAAAAATTCATTTCCAATGCATTTCTACTGATAGTTTAATATATTATAATAACTTTTGTTAAACTCACAGTAGGTGTGAAAACTACTTCAAATTAAAAAAAAATTATTTTCTATACTGGTAATTTTTAAAAAAAAAAACAACCTCTAATTCACTCCCAACATGGCTCCAAGCAATCACTGTTAAGTTGGTAATTACAAGAATACAAAAAGTAGTGTTAAAGAGCAAGGAAGCGGTTGACAGAAGATTTGAAAAGTTTAGGGTTTTATGGGTTGGGAAAACATAAAGATGAGGTTGAGTTCCAATAAAGAGTATTGTCATATAGACAACCATAAAGAGTATTGTCATATAGACAATACTTTTTATGGTTATTATATTTATTGTATCGATCAAGTTTTTTATTTTAGGTTGAGCATCCAGGTTGCCCTGCTGTTAGTTCACATGTCAGGTTAGTATCTACAATCAAATAATGGTGACAATTATGATGATTATGATAATTTTATTGATGATGATGATGATGATGACAATGGTAATGATAAAGAAGATGATGACAATGAAGATAATTATGATGATGATGATATGATGATGATGATAATGATGATAAAGATAATGATGATGATAATGATGATGATGATGATGATGATGATCATTATCATAAGTATTATTAATCACGATAATCACAATGATCCTTTTCTTTCTTTCTTTCTTAGGGGTAATGTACTTATTGGTGGATTTTTGCTTAAAGTGTTATCATCTGACCCACCAGAAACTGAGTTAACATACTTAGCTAGAGTAGAATTAGGAGGTGAGGCTTTGTTTTTATATTAATTATTTTAATTATTATTTTTGACTTTCTAATTTTTTTGAATCTGCAATTGTTTTAAAGGTTATTTTCCGCAATCAATAATAAATAAAATATCAGCCGAGCAATCGATGTTTCCTGCTGTAATTCGAAAGCATTGTGAACATCGTTTTCATATCCAAAGTCCTGTCTCAGAAGAGAAAAAAATATTGACAGAAATACATTCATTTCCCAGTTGGTTTGAAGAAAAAGTACAGGATTCAGAATCTATCATAGCAAATGTCACTAGTAATGATTTAAACACTTTACAGGGTAATGATTTGAATACTTCGCAGCCCTGTAGTAATAGTTTGAAAACTTTAGAGGCTAGTAGTAATGATTTAAGCACATCACAATCTAATTGTAATGGTTTGAACACTGCATTTCCTAAAAGTAATGATTTAAACATTTCACAGGCTAATAGCAATGACACTTCACAAGATAATAATGATTATAACTCTTTACAGGCTAATAGTAGTTATTTGAAAACCTCACAGGCTAATACTAAAGATTTAAACACTTCACTGTCTAAAATTAATGATTCAAACACTTCACAACCTAATAATGATTTTAACACTTTGCCGGCTAATAGTAATGATTTAAATATTTTACCCGCTAATAGTAATGATTTAGATACTTCACAGGACAAAAGTTATGTTTTGAAGACTTTGCAGGCTTTAAACACAAACAAAGATAACTTGAATGATACAAGTAATATTGAAAAAACACTTGATAAGCATGCTCAATCATTCTTAACTACTAGTTCTACTGATAATATTCCTCTAAATTATGTCGAAGTTAACAATTTAGTTGATTCTCAATCAACTGATGATGATCAATCTGTTCTATCAGACAATTTATTTTTATCAGATATCGAAAGCATTAAATCAATGGTAAATGTTTTTTTTTCATCCTACTTTTTTTTAAATCTAATGTTTTTTTTGTTTTGTACAATTAGTTTTTAACTTATGTTTTTTTTTTACAGTTATTGTTATTTTAAAAATTGTTATAATTTTTATTTATAATTAATTTTTATTCATTGAATTTTATTTATGTTCAGCATATTTTAAATGTTAATCTTTTTAATTTTATTTTCATTTTTTTTTTTTTTTTTTAATTTTTATATGATAGTTTTTTTTTTTATCTTTTATTTAGAAATTAGCTTCGTATGATTCTGATGCTTCTGATCCACAAATGAATCTTCCACGAGGTATTATTTTTAATCTCTCACAAATGAATCTTCCACGAGGTATTATTTTTAATCTCTCACAAATGAATCTTCCACGAGGTATTATTTTTAATCTCTCACAAATGAATCTTCCACGAGGTATTATTTTTAATCTCTCACAAATGAATCTTCCACGAGGTATTATTTTTAATCTCTCACAAATGAATCTTCCACGAGGTATTATTTTTAATCTCTCACAAATGAATCTTCCACGAGGTATTATTTTTAATCTCTCACAAATGAATCTTCCACGAGGTATTATTTTTAATCTCTCACAAGATATTATTATGATTTTATAACAAATTAGTTTAGGTAAAATGTAAAAAACTCAGAAAAAGGTAGATAGACAAAATTGTTTACAATTATCTATGTCATTATAAGGTCAAATTTTATTCGACAGCATTCGAAAGAATCAAAATTGAAGGTGTGGAGTCTTGAGGAATAATCTTTATAAGAAATAGATATTTCTAGTAAAATATTTCTGAACCTTTTCTATCTGAAGCATATCTTTTAAGGGTAGGGATTCCACACTGAGGTACAAGATTTTAATAAAGGTCAAACATATACTTTTTAGGCGCTTTACAAAAGTTGGGAATCATTACTGGTAAAAGATTTTAAAAGTAAGTAAGTAGGAGAATGAGCCTTGCCTGCAGTAGAAGAAAAGTGATTAGATAAATTTATATCCAATGACATAATTTTACCAATATCTTGAATATTTAACAGATTTAATAGATTTAATAATAATCAATGTTTATTGAGTATAAATGTAATAGAAATGGACTGTTGCCATAGCATAGATGAAAACACTTTTTGGTTGCTATATTAGGTTGCCAATTATTTGACCATTCTGAAAATTTTTTTAAGGTACAAGATGTGTGCTGTTTCCCTAGTCTCTTGCTTGATACAACTTGCTGTCTCTTGAGGTATCTTACTCTTTACAAGAATTTTGTTTGAAGTTACCTACATTGACAACAATTTTTTAAAAATTTGTAACCAGTTTAGCAATTCGTACTTAATACCATAGAAAGATGTGATTTTTCACTATCATCAGTACTAAGAGTTTTATCAGGTCAGAGAAGCGGTGTATATAGCATATGATCAGATAACAGACATGATTGCATAGACTTTTTGATATTTAGCAAGTATTTAAGACTAAATTATTAAGGCTTGGGAGTAAATTTTCTTGTTGTCAGGTATTTACATCAGGGTGGCTCTGTTCTATTGTTTATTCCATTGATATTTATTTGATAAAATGTTAATAAATAAAAAGCAAATTTTTTATTTTTGTTGAATTCCCATATTTTCTTTTAGTAGGTTTCAAAAATGTTTTAGTCGAATTTAATTGACTTTAGAAAATATATTATTAGATTTAGTTGACAGTAAAGCTTTTTTATCAGTCAAAACATTACTAATTTTGGTGTTAAAGATTTATGAAAGCGAGAGTAGCAAAAAATAAGAAATAAGAGCATTAAATTTTTTAGCCATAGCAATGCCCTTAGCAACCATCTTCTAACTCTTTAGTCCAGTAGTCAAACTCAAGAAACTACTGTTAGTGTCATTTAAACTTTTTAAATGACACTAAGGTCTTAAAATGAACAGATAACTAGTTATTTAATAAATAAATGCTATGCAATCAAATAATAATTAATTATTAATAAGTAATAAAATATGGTCTGAAAACCTAGCCTATAAAAATAACAACATGTTTGAAAATATTGAAAGTTGATTTTAAGAAGATATTGTATTAATTGATCTTTCAGAAATTTCCAATCTTAAACTTTTAATTGAGTCTTTCGTGTTTTTTTCTGATGTGCCACAGTTGTGTGTATAAAAATATGCAAACTGTTAAGATCTAATCACCGTATTCACTAATCTTTTTGAAAGTAAGTATCTTTAAAAGTTATTTATCATTATTGTTTATGTGCTTAAAATCTTATTTCCAGTTCTAAGAATGCTAAGAAATATTTAAAAAAAAATTAATCTAAGTGATACTATTTCAACTAATAATTTTTCATTCCCAGTTTTTATTTATTTTACTTTGTAATGTTTTTCTTCTTGAAATAGTATTTTATTTTTTTTAACATAATTGTAGGGATATTAAATCTATTTCAAATTTGTATAAACTTTATTTGTTGGATTTATTTGATTGAAGACTGAGCAATAATTTTTCGAAAAGCATTAGGCTCACAATTTTATTTGATTCTGTTGTTTTTTCCATTATGATTTAATTTAGAAATGGCATCTATGCCATGTACTATTTGCGGATGTGATAAAGGGTAAATTAATTTTAGTTCGTGAAAATGACTTGAAAACCCTATTGAGAGCATCTTCTACGAAGAAAGAAACAAATCTAACTCAAATATTTAAAGAGCACCGAGATAAACAAAAGTCAGTGAATGTCCATCATAAATGTCGTCGAAAGTTCACTAACTTTTGAAAAAAAACTGTTGGACCAGAACCTAAGTGGTTACTTTCATCAATTCAAACTACTTTTCTCTGGAAAGTTTGTTGTTTTATTTGCTCAAAACCTATTATACAACATAACAAGAGGTTCCACCGAGTACAAACGCTACCATTACATAACACTATTATGGAGTGTGCGAAAGCAAAGGAATGATGTATAGGGTAAAGCAGTACTTACAAGATTTGGAACAATAAATTTCTAACTAGTCAGAAGAAGCAGTTTATCATAATTCATGTATGGCTGACTTCAGGCTGAGCAAAGCAGGGAAAAGTGGTAGAGGAAGATCAGCAGATCCTATCATGACCATTTGAAAACATCTGCGGTTGGCTCAAAAACGCTGCAGAAAGTGAAATATATTCTATTAGAGAATTATATGATAAAATGATTAAAGACAATAATGGTGTTGGATATTGTCTCCAAACATTTCAATCAAAATTTTGTCTAAAGTGCTGGCTGTAAGGGTGAACTGGTTTTGTTTAAAAACATGGGAAACTATATAATAAGGAAATATAAAGAAGAGGGCACAGCAACAAGAGATAGTGTGGTGGAAGCAGCAGCCAAAATAGTAAAGGAAGAGATAAGGTCAATGGAATACAGTAAAGATTTTTACCCCATTATTGATGATATCACTGATGGAGAAAAGTGGGTTCCTGAATTATTTAAAACTTTTTTGATGTTACTGATTCCTTCCAGTCAGAAGCGGCTTAGTCTGAGCTAATCATACAAGCTTCAAGACCAAAAAGTTTTATTGCACCAATTCCATTCAGAGTTGCTGTCAATATTGATAAAACTACTGGATGTAAACAGCTTATTTAACATTTCTCGCGACTTGGGTTTTCAATCACCAGATGAATTGTACCGCTTTAAACAATCAGCAATCGAAGAGATGAGCAGGAATGAAATAACCACAAAGAAATAAGTAATGGGTTAAAGCAATGGGTAGCTGATAATGTTGACCACAATATTGCAACATTAACAGGAAAAGGTACATTTCATGGGATGGGAATAATTGCCATAGAAAAAAAGCACACTGGATTGTTAGGTAAAGTATCTTTATCTTGCTCTACAATCTTCATCTTCTCTCTTCCAGTAACTTCCAACACTAATTAGTGGTTGCTTGCCAAAAAAAAAAAAAAAAAAAAAAAGTTCCACGATTGAGACAACTTCTAACAACAGCAGCATTTGCTAACAATTGCTAACAATTGTGGTATAGAGATTGTTCCATATCATAAATTTTCGCATATAAAAAAGTTTCAATTTAAAACAATCTCTAAGGTTACATTAAGACTGCTCATTTCTGATATGAATAGTATTATTTTATAATAATATTATATATAGTTTTATTTCTAACTACAACAATTTCCCATTTTGCTAATCATTAAGACAACAACAAAAAACACCCATGTGGTGGCAAGGTATGTATGTGCAGGAAATATGGAATATGGTGTATGCAATTCTGTGGGGAATGTCGTGGAACAGAATGTGTGAGTAGCAAGGTAAATTTTAACAATAAAAATTAGAAAACGACGTTTATTTATCATTTATCTTTATTATCACATATCAATATTTCTACAAAATATCAGTCATATATATGCTTTTCTATTATCTGTATGGCAATGAGATTGAAGAAGAAAACCAAATGGAAAATTATGAAGATGGCGACAGAAACATATTATGTTTCCCTGATTTCTAAATACAGAAATATAATTTAAAAAAAAGTTGATTTAATTTAGATTTTATTATATGTGACAAATGACCATTTTAATGAAAGTTTTTAAAACTTTCAAAACAAATTACTTAATGTATTATTTATAGCATTTATTTGTTAAATAACTAGTTGCCCTTTAATTTTAAGACCTTAATGTCTTTTAAAAAGTTGTTTAGCTTTGAAATGGTATATAATAAATCAATTTTCAAAAATATATATATTTTTGACCATTTTGGGCATTCGTCATTTAGAAAAAAAGGGTTCTCCTATTGGGAATTGTAGGGCATTTTTTTAATGTAATCTATATACCAGGGAATTACTGGATTAAGTTTCAGCTTTATAAAAAATTTTTACCAAAAATAATCTTATTCGGCTAGACTTTTTGGTTTTATGGTAAAATAAATTACCAGTTTTTGACAATAATAATCCCGGTAGGTGCATGCTATTTAAATTTATTATTCATACTTTTTATATAAAAAAAAGATGATTTGACACAACTTAGCATCTGGTTTTTAATAACAACAAGTAACTCTAATCAGGAATAATATAACTCAACCAAATAATTCTTGAAGTCAAAGATGGTTATAACATTACTAATAATATTAGTAAAAAAGATAGCTATTTGCTATCTCTTTTACTGATAGAAATAATAAAGTTAAGCAGCAAGGATTTAGAGCTACATCTATTGTGTATTTAAAGTTCTTGTCAATGGCATAAAACATTCGAAATAACTCCTATTGTTAATATATAAAACAAAATCAATATCACAAAATACCTTGACCAAAGGTTCTTTGCTACTAATTAAATGTTGATAGCATTTTGAGAAGATTTTAGAGCTATTAAATCCTTTACTTTATTTGCTATTTTTTGGCTACCTATATTTTTAAACCTTACAACAATATTACTAATGTTTTGCATGGTTTGTGATGTTACCTAGTTAGTGCAAGAAAATATAAATAACTTATGGTATGAACTTTAGTGTTTGCAAAAAAATGTAAATAACTTATGGTATTTTGATGGTTAACAGCAGAAGAGAGGACACAGTTCACTAAATATCTAAAGGAGATTTTTGTATCAAAAAAAAGTTTTATAATAAGTATTTGTTCTGCATTATTGAATTTGATGATGGTAAATCTGTTTTAAGACTAATAATATAGAAACTTGGATTGCCAGTTTCATAATTTTACAGAGCGCATAAAGAACGTTAATAAAAACCAACTAATGGTTGTCATCATCAACAAAAGGCATAAATGTTAGAAGAAAATTAAAAACCTCTAGAAATGGATTTCAACATAAAGAGAAGCATTATGAAGAGACTCATTGCAGGCTTATTTTAAAGAATTCATAGTATTTTAATTCATAGTAAAGGTTTTATACTCATTTCTTCTCTCTCACATCTAATTCTAATCTGATTTTTTTCTTTTCAAAGCTCCTCTTTTATTAGGTTGCAATAAATTAATAGATTTTGTAATGATGGAAAATTAAATAAGAGAATAGCATGGTTTCTTTTGTAAATGTATTTACCACATTTGATGCTTGTCTGAAATTGTTTCCTTTATATTGCCCAATTTCCAACTATTACTAGAGATTACTAGAGATAATGAACATAATGGTTGCTGAACATTTTGTTAAAAAAGTTCAGAAAATTAATAATGCACTTTCCTAAAAGCTTTTAAAGGAATGAAGAATGATTGTTCATCAGGGTATAAACTATTGGGTTTAAATGCACAATTTGGAAAATCCAACCAAAGTGCAGACTTTTTCAATGGGGATAGTAAACAACCCAATATTTTATATTTTTACATTAGTATTAATGACTTAATACTTTTACATAAAAAACTTAAAAATAGAAAATAACTTTACAAATAAATAGCAATTAGTTTTTTTTATTTCCTGTACATCTATAAAAACAGTAAAGCAAAAAACATTTGAAAAACAAATTTTATTATTGTATTTCTAGTGCAATTAATAAAGTGTAAGTCTTTAATATACTGACTGACAAAAGTCAGGAATAAATTGTATATCAAAAAAGTGTTTCCTTAATATACTGACTGACTAAAGTCAGGAGTAAATTGTATATCGAAAAAGTGTTTTCATTATTTTCTTATCTACTTTTTTTTCTACTTGTGTCAATTTTGTAGTGGAAAATAACAAACCCCCTTAAAAAAAGAAACTGAAATGAGTAAAATATTTAGGTATATATATTTTTTTGACAAAATTGTTCTTTTTTTAATTTTTATTTAAAAAAAAGAGAGCAACCGCACACACTTTCTGGGAAGGCTTGTAGTTGTTAAAACATTTTAATAGATCGCTTTGGACAAATTGATTTTATAACGCTTGGTAACCAAACTGCTGCTTCACTTGAAGAAGAGGTAAAAATTAAATGATTATTTTTTCAAAATTATAAGTTTATCAAATTTTTACAATTAACAATCTTAAGATTTTCATTTTAGTTTTATTTAGCAATGAGTGCAGTATCATTGTCACCACTTTCACCATCAATTGATTCATCTTTGAGTATTCAAAACCAAAATTTTGGATGGGTGTAAGTTTTTTTTTTCATTTTTGTTTTGGGTTCTTTTACAAATTTATTTAAAAGATTTACTTCAAAATTACCATTAAAAGGTTTACTTCAAAACGACATCATACATCAGATAAAAGCATAGAAATAAATGATTAACTTTTTTATGTGGATTTCATATCATTAATGGAATCAAAAAAGAGTCCAAAGTTATTGTAATAATGTGTTACTATATCTATTTCAATCAGGTACCAAGGAAGTGAAAAAGATGTTATACTTATGAAAAAAATTCATTCTCATCTTAAAGTTCACAGGTATATAAACAGTTCATTTATTTTTTTATTTTCAAATTAAATTTGTATGTTTATCATAATATTTTAGTTTTTTTGGTCGTGGAGTTATATCTGTTCCACCAGACACAGTTTTCAAAGCAGTATCCAACCCAGTTGTTCGCACTTATTATGATAACATGTTAAAGGTACCTGTTTAATTTATTTCTAATTTTGTTATGTATTTATATTATATAAAATATATATTTTAGATTATTTTTAAAAATTATTACTTATGATAATTTTAACACAATGTAGTAAAATTGTGTAAGAAAGTGATAAAAACCAGGTTTAGTCGTAATCTTAATTATTCTTACTTAATCTTAAATGATTATTTTTAACTAAAGATTTTTTTTAATTTTTAGAAAATATCAATTGTGCGACAGATTAGTGAAAGAAACAAAATAGGTTTGTAAATTTTTATATTATGGTATAAAATTGATCATTTTATAAAGAAAAAAAAAAATTATTTGAAATTTTGCTGCATAAAAAATAACATTATTTTTTAAACTAAGAATGAAATTTTTTTTTACACGTTTTAATAAAAATCTGCAGTATATTTGTTTGATTTAAAATTTTATGAAATCCTCATTAAAAAGAAGAAATTTATAGACTTTTAAAATAGCACTTTATTAAAAAGTACCTCATTAAAAAGAAGAAATTTATAGACTTAAAAATACAAATAAAAAGTTTAAAATAGATTGACCAAAATATTAAGTTTATTTGGTCATAATCATGAAGTAAGTTGGTTATAGTTTCGTTAGTAATAACCATGAAGTTGGTTGTTTATATTTTCGTTGGTCATAATCATTAAGTTGGTTGGTTATAGTCATAAAGAAAGAAATTTAAAACTAAAATTGCCTTCATTATAAAACATGTGAAAGCGTGGCAATTTAATCCTAATTTTTAATTAGTAATAAATTTGCATAACTCATTGAATATTTTAGAGGTATTAACTTAAAATCCATAAAGAGTTATTAAATGCAGATAATAACTCCAAGTTGAATACTATCAGGCACAATTGGCTTCAAATTTTAAAAAACTACAAATCTCAGAACTTGTATATTATTTAATCATTGTTACACTTTTTTTTTATTGTTTTGGTTGTTATTGGCTGAAATTCTATGTAGTTTTATTCTCAACTTGTATAAGTTGAGATTAAAACTACAAAATTTGTAAAAAGCAACCCGTAATACGGATACGGTCGGTCTGTTACATAACTAATTTATAGTGGCTCTTATCCATTATTTAATGTTGCAAAACCTTAACTAAGACTCTTTTAGAAAAACGCCTTCAAATTGAAAAAATTAATCCATCTGTAAAATTAACATAAAAAGTATGTAAAATAATTTACCAACTACTACTTAACATTTATAATTACTACTTAACATTATTTGAGTAATTTACAACTGACATAAATCATAACTGCGTAAAGCAGAACTATTTTCCTCGACATTCCTAAGTTCAACACAATACGTTTTTAGTTACTGACACAAAATAATAACACTTCATCATGCTTTAAATTGGCGAAAGTATTAACTAAATCCTTGTAGTAATTTTTATCACATGAACTATTAAGATTAAGATGAAGTTAACTTATATTATACAGGAGTTATCCATTTTTTGGTATCCCCTTGATTTAATTTTTTTTTAGAAAAGAAAACTGTCAACTTAAAATGTTAAATGTACACAAATTTATTAAAAATAACTAAGTTTATTATAAATAACTAAGCAACTGAGTTGCTTAGTTGTTTATAATAAACTTATAATACGTTTCAAACAAAAAAAATTTAATTTACAATCAAACATTTGTATAACAAATTTAAAAAATTGTGTAAACTCCGATCTTTTATATGTCATTGATCTGTCATATGACAAACCTAAAATTGTAATAGATAAGTAGACATAAAAATTTGTAAACCAAGCTGACCGGACCAAGGTCTTGTTGAGTTTGCTCAACACAGACCATTTCTATATTATTTGCTTTTCTATATTATTTGCTCTTTATTTCATTAATTTTTAGTAAACGGTAATTTGCTACCATTTATTAAAAATTCCTTTTGTTACTTTAAATTCAATTTTCCTAAATATTTTGACACTAATATAGAGGTTCCTTTCCTCTTTTTGCTTTAATGGTGGCCAGGTGAGTATAGTTTTTTTTATTAAGAGTAATCAAGTTTTTGATGAAGACCTTTTACCAAAATAAAATGTAAAACAATGATTTACATATGAATTGGTGAATGTTAAAAGGGTGGAAGTCCAACAATGTAAACTTTTGGAAAACTAAAAAAAACAGCACTGCTTCCTCAGTAAATTTTTGTTAATGGTTTAACAATTTGTTTTTTGAAAGGGATAATGTTTTTCATCTTAAAAGCAAAAATATATTTTATTATATTTATTTTTAAAGAAACAATAAACCAATTAACACTGTAGACTTCAGCCCTTTTAACATTCAACAAATAATTACTGCTTATTTTATTATGATTTTAATTTTGAGCAGTAGAAAATAATGTCACAAACTGCAATAAATCTTTACAAAGTGTATATTTATGAATTGTTTATACATTTTAACAAAAAGTTTAAGGAAAAAAAGATCTATTACAGAAATTTTATTGACTATGCTTAATCATTTTCCCCAGCATTTTCTGCTTCTCCATCGTTGCTATCTGCTGTAGGCCATTGCAGTAGTTCATTATAAAAGTCAAAATGATCATGTGGAATATACTTTCTTAAGTCATTCAATTTAGCAGACTTTATTGGAACTTTTCCGTTTGGGTAAAAAAGCTGTTCTGGCAGGTTCACTTTGTTTTGAGTATTTTTTCTCGTCATAAAAGTATGTTTGACAGTACAATTTATAATTTTTAACCGGCTTTACATTGACCTATGATGTCACAATTGTATTAAAAACGGTGAAATTTGATTATACATTGTTTCAATTAAGGTAACGTTTCTTTTATAGTGGACTGGCCACTAACTTTTAACATTGTAAACTAGAGATAAACTCTCTACATTACCCACTAAAAACTCGTATTGATTATTCCTTTTTAATATAACTTTTTTAATTTCTTATACGTTGTACACTCTGTCATGCCTTCTTAACTCTTTTTTTATAATCGAAAAGTCACAGTCACAGAGCAAAAAGTTAAGTCCTCTGATTGGAAAAAATTGATCCACTTATTATCAGTTAGCGCCATAAAAAGGTTTGAGAAGCAATGGTTTTTATTTTGCATCCCACAATTATCGGCATAAAAGTTAAGTTCATCATATGTAAGGTAGACAGGTAGTGCAATAGAAAGGAGCAAGTTTCATTTAGAGACTTTCTAGCCTTTCTATCTAGAAAATACACTAACTGTTAACTGCCTTAGGTAAATTAACTCTTGCACATGTGCTTTGGGCAGTGAAATGTTTTGCATTAAATCTACTGCTAGGGACAAAACATTTACATTTTTTTCTTCCCTAGCGTCCTGCTCATCTTGTTTTATGGCTTAGTAAAATTTTTTGCGCGTCTGTTATGTACTGTCAACTCAATTACTGGTTTCTTATCTTTTTTTTATAATTTGTATGATCAGAATCACTATCACTATCATCCATTTAAAAAAGCAGTAAGTAACTTAAATCATTATTAAAATGATCAAACGTAATAAATCAACTTTATTCACGACGCTGTTGCTCAATCAAAGCGACAAAATAAGTTTACGTTTGGTCCGCTGTCTTTAGCGCAAAGTTTCTTGTTTTTTGTTAAAAGGGCTGAAGTCCGGACTTCAGCCCTTTTAACAAAAAGCCAAGACTTTTAGACACTGTACAGACAAAAAATTTTTGACTTACACCTTTTTAACACAAAATGATAAAGCTATATTTTGAGTATACAAATTTGCAAAAAAGTCAATATTGCAAAATATCTGACTTCCGCCCTTTTAACATTCATCGATTCTTATATAAGAATGTTTTCTTTCTTTCCTCAAAACTGTTGTAAATGCGGACTAAGCTAAATAATTAGTTAAACACGTAAATAAAACTTAAGTAACTCGATATTTGATAAATGCGCCAAACTTCAATATTCTCCATGTTTTTAAAGGTTTTTAGTTACGACCCCCCGTTTACAAAGATCCCTAAAAATACGTACAACAAATTATTTGGCATAAAATAGATAAAATCAGTTTTTTTTATATAAATCTTATAAATGGGTCATAACATAAATCTAAAATAAAAAAGTAATGGAACTAAAATATAATTACAAAAAAAAAAAAAAAAAAAAAAAAACACCACATAGAAACGGAAAATCGATTTACCTATTTATAGTAACCTATTTTGAAATTGCAGTTAATATAAACATTTATGAAAATGTAACTATAAAATCTGTTTCAAAGTACAAAAGTATTAACAATACTAAAAAAAAATCAAACTAAGATATAAATTGCATTTTTAGCATAATGTTGTCTTAGCCTAAAGTAAATAAAAAAAAGCAGTAAGTTCCAATGATGAAACTACATATTATTTATTTTTAACAATAGACACCAACGGTAAGGTGAGCCAATCTGTCTATCAACACAAAACATCACAACAATAACATTACAACAATAACATATAACAATAAAATCCAGTGAAAATAACAAACTAAATTAAAATATAAAAGGCAAAATTAAAAAACCAATTTAGAGTTAACTATATTTATCTTTTTACTAAACTTTAATAAAGTATATTTGTTTTTATATTCAATATTAGTTAATCAATTATTTCAAATTTAGGACATTAACGCACCCTAGATTTAAAGATTAAGGTTGCATACTCTCTCATAAACATTACGCTAAACATTAACAGCCTTTATTATGTGTTTCCAGAATAATTAGAAAAAGGCTAGACAACATAACCTAGCTCTAAAGCAGTAACACCGCCTGGCACTAAATGCTGCCAACTCACACCTCTGCTATAAGTACACCGCTAGGCTGGCAAGGTTATCAAACTTGTTAAACGTAATACCAAGTCACACCACTTTGAAAACATGGAAACAACATAATTTAAACATATATACAACTTTAAACAAATATGAATTTATATAACATACATAAACACATTCTATAACAATTTTAAATGACAGATAAATTTATCAAAAACTATGAAAAACCTTTAGTAGTAAATTTTCGAAATGAAAATCTAAAGACTATAAAAAGAACATTAGAAAATATAACATTATTTGTTTAACACTTTTCACCTACCATATCTTGAATAGGATGTTTATCAATTTTAAAATAGAAACTATTAAATTCTCTAGTTCTTGAACATGCAACATATGGTTGACCATGAGAGAAACACAGTTTTTAAGATATGTTTATTGTCTATAAGTTTAATTTTGCGTTACAAAATATATGGGCGATCCCTAAAGAAAAATACTTGAAACTAAAAGGTTTTAT